TTAAAATGTTAATTCAGTGGACAGGATTTGTACCCCTCATGGCTGTTGGGAGGGTGATTACACAAAGGAGCTGACAATGTCAACATGGCTCGGCCGACGGCTGACCTGCGCGGGGGTTCGGTGAGAGGCTGGTGAGTCTGGAATTAGCTGCAGGAGATCCATGATTCCAGGCGACTATTCCTGGCTGCTTTTGCCTTCTCTAAGGTGTGTGGCCAGGGAAGGGACCCGTGACCAGGTCCTATGGACAAGCCTCCGACAGGCCCACCTCAGATGGCAGAGCCAGCAGCTGGAGGTGAGAGGCTGGAGGGGTCCCCATTAGATAATTGCTCTGCCCCTTATGAGCTGCCTACACATGCCCCACCAGTTATCCAATATAAGATGGATTGTCTCCTTCCCATTTTTGCTGATAAGAGAACTGAGGTTCAGGAAGGGGAAGCGCCTTGCCCAAGGTCTCATAGCTAGGAAGCTACAGAATTGGCACTAGACCTAGGGCTCCTGACATCCAGGATCATTTATAGTGCTTTGTAGAGCAATCCTTCTAGAATACCTCTTAGGGCTGTGCTAGGGATTAAACCAAACAATTTCTGTATAGGGCCCAGCACAGGTCCCGCCCTCAGCCTCCTTCGGGTGTCCCACCTCTCAGCCCTCCCCCTGCCATCTATGTCCTACCCCTTGTCCCCCATCTCCTCATGTCTGTTCCACTTCTCAGTCTTCCCCCCACCTCCTACAGGTGTTCCACCCCACTCCCCCACCCCCCATGAATGTCCCACTTCTCGTCCCCATTTCCCCATGCGTATTCTATCTCCCACGAGTGTCTCACCCCACACCACCCCTCACCTCTCATGGTGTCCCACCTCCCCCTCTGGCTCGTCTTTCTCCAAAGCAGTGATTCCTAACCACCCGGGAAGCTCTCAGAATAAGTTTGATACCTAGGCTACACCCCCAGGGATTCTGATTTAATTGGTCTGAGATGAGACCCAGGCACTGATACTTTTTAAAACAGATTTTATATATTTTTTATTTTAAGTAGATATGTTACTACTTAAAATCCTGTGCAAGGATGACATGCAAATTCATGAAGCATTCCATATTTTTTTTGGAGCCCTGGTGGCACAGTGGTTAAGAGCTCAGCTGCTAACCAAAAGGTCAGCAGTTCAAATCCACCAGCCGCTCCTTGGAAACCCCAGGGGGCAGTTCTACTCTGTCCTCGAGGGTTGCTATGAGTTGGAATCGACTCGATGGCAATGGATTTGGTTTTGGTATGTTACTGTAGTATAACATACTCACAGAGAAGTGTACAGATTCAAAGTGGACAGCTCCAGGCATCCTCACGAAGGGCTCCTCACCTGAGGAACCCCTTTGATCAAGAAATACAACACTCCTGGCTCCCCAGAAGCCTCCTGTGGCCCCTCCCAGTGAGTAACCCCCCAACAGTACCCCCTATTCTGACTTCTGCCACCACAGATCAGTTTTTTTTCTTTTCTTTTTTTTTATTGTTGTAGTCTAAGTTAGTAGTCAAGTTAGTCTCCCATACAAAATTTTATACATACATTGTTATGTGACCCTAATTGCTCACCCCATTCTGCGACAGCACACTCCTCCTTTCAGTCCCTGATTCCCCATGTCTAGTCAACCAGCTCCTAACCCTCTCTGCCTTCCCTTCTCACCTCTGGACAGAAGCTGTGCTTTTGGTCTCTTGTATCTACTTGACTAAGAGGCACACTCTTCACGAGTATCACTTTATGTCCCACAGTCCAGTCCAATCCGTCTGAAGAGCTGGCCTCGAAAACTGTTTTAGTTCTGGGCTGATAGAGAATCCAGGAGCCATGCTTTCTGGGGTACCTCCAGTCTCAGACCATTAAGTCTGGTCTTCTTGCTAGAATTTGAGTTCTGCACCCCATCTTTCTGCTGGTCCATCAGGGACTCTCTGTTGTGTTCCCTGTCAGGGCGGTCATTGGTGGTAGCCAGGCACCATCTGGTTCTTCTGGTCTCAGGCTGATGAAGTCTCTGGTTTATGTGGCCCTTTCTGTCTCTTGGGCTACTACTTTCCTTGTGTCTTTGGTGTTCTTCATTCTCCTTTACTCCAGGTGGTTGGGACCAACTGATGCATCTTAGATGGCTGCTTGCAAGCTTTTAAGACCTCAGACGCCACTCACCAAAGTAGGATGAAGAACATTTTCTTAATAAGCTATGTTATGCCAATTGACCTAGATGTCCCCTGAAAGCACAGTCCCCAGACCCCTACCCCTGCTACTCTGTCTCTCAAAGTGTTTGACTGTATTCAGGAAACTTCTTAGCTTTGGTTTAGTCCAGTTGTGCTGACTTCGCCTGCAGTGTGTGCTGTCCTTCCCTTTGCCTAAGATGATTCTTATCTACTAACTAGTTAGTAAATAACCCTCACCCTCCCTCCCCACCCTCGTAACCACCAAAGAATGTTTTCTTCTATGTTGAAACCTTTTCTTGAGTACCACAGATCAGTTTTGCCTGTTATTTTTTTTATTGTTGTAAAAATATACATAACACATTTGCCAATTTAATGTTTTTCACATGTACAATTTAGTGACATCTATTACATTAACAACATTGTACAACCACCGCCAATATCCAAAGCGAAATATTCCATCACCATAAACAGAAACGGACTGCTTCCTAAACAATGACTCCCCCTTTCCCCTCCTTCCCGCCCTTGGTAACCAGTGATAAGCTTTGGACTCTATACCTTTGCCTATTCTAGCTATTTCATATAATTAAGATCATACAATATTTGTCCTTTTGTGATTGACTTATTTCACTCATCATAATGTTTTCAAAAGGTGCATTTATGTTGTAGTATACATCAGGACTTCATTTCTCTTTATGGTTGCCTGTTCTAGAACATTATATAAACTGAATCATGTATCAAACAAACTCGTTGCTGTCGAGTTGATTCCGACTCATAGCAACCCTATAGGACAGAGCAGAACTTCCTCATAGGGTTTCCAAGGAGCAGCTGGTGGATTTGAACTGCTGACCTTTTTGGTTAGAAGCCCAGCGCTTAACCACTGCACCACCAGGGTTCCGAATCATGTATATATGTTCTCTATTATCTGGCTTCTTTTGCTCAATATTGTTTGTGAGATTCATCCTGCTGGTGTGTGTAGGCAGAGTTTGTTCATTTCGTTGGTACATGCTATCCACCCCAGGCACATACCACAATGTATTCATTCATTCCACTGGGCATTCAAATGGACATTCCGGTGGTTTCCAGCTGTGCTTATTATGACTAGCGCTGCTACGAACATTCTTGTTCTTGTCTTTTGGTACACATTTGTCTTGGGCATATAGCCAGGAGTGGAATTTCTAGGTCATAGGGCTTGTGTATTTCCACGTTAGCAAATATCATCAATTTTCCAAAGTGGTTTTACCAATTTTACACTCCCACCAGCAGTGGTGAGAATTCTGGTCTCTCCACATCCTCCCCAACACTAGGTATTTTCCATCTTTCATTTGAGCCATCTGGAGGGTATAGAGGTATTGCACTGGTGTTTTCATTTGAATTTTCCCAAACACTAATGAAGTTAAGCACTTTTGTACTTGTGTTTCGGCCATTCGGAGGCCCTCTTTGTGAAGTGCCTGGTCTAGTCCTTTGGGTATCAGTTAACCAAAGAATGCTGCATTAAAACAGGTACCCTGAATAAGCATTGATTTTCGTGCTCAGGTTGATTGTAGACCGATTGCTGACTGGCTGGTCCGGGCTAGCCCTGGCTGGGACACTCACCTCCAGGCGGCAGGCCCTGCTGGGCTAGGCTCCTTCACACAGGCTGGGCTCAAGTTTCTCCACATGTGTTCACTCTGGGGCCCAGGCTGAAGGGGCAGTGACTCCAGAAGTGGAAACTCCTCTCTTGGCGATGGCAGAAGAGCGAGAGCGAGTCCCATCACACAAGCCCATGTCAAGTTCAGCCTGCACCATGTCCACCAACATCCACTGGCCAGAGGGAGTCACATGGCCAATCCCAACACCAGTGGGGAGGAAGGCGATAGGATGCCTTCAGGGGGTGGGGGTGGGGAGTGGGGTGAATATTTGTTGAACTAACTGAATTACAGCACTGTATTTTGGAGTACTTATAAAAGACTTCACATGACAGAACCACTGACCTGCAGTCACACTGCACACCAGTCAGTCAAAGCGAAAATGAGGATTGGTTGGCTTTACTTCCTTTCCTAAAAGTAGTCAACTCAGCCAAAGTCCATTTCTCCCTTCAGGCATTTTTTTTTAGAAGAAAGTCCCTGGAATTAACATGGCAAATTATTTTCATAACTGATTTTGCCATCTCAAGGGGTGGGCCTGTCTAATTCATCTCTAGTATTCTCAGCCCCAGCATAATGTAGAGAAATGGAGAAACACCACGATAGGGTGGTGTAGGGTGACTGGAAGAAAAGAATGCAAATATTGCTGTGTAAACTCCAAGAGGGCGGGGTTTTTATGTGTTGGTATCATTGTTGTGTTCCCAGTGCTTAGAAGAGTGCCTGACACAGAATAGGTGCTCAACAAATAATTATTCAGTTAACAGATGTATGCACAGGTGAATACATAGGTGGCTGTCGGGAGTGGAAAGATGAGGGGGTGGATGGTTGGTTGAATGAATAGTGAATGGATGAGAGGATGAATATACGGAAGGGTGCATGTGTGGAGAGATGGATGGATGAGAGGATGGACAGATAGATGGACAAGCGGAGGTTGGAAGGTTGGATGGTTGGATAGATGGATGAATTGGTAGGAGGATGGATAGATGGATGGAAGGCTGGACGGGCAGATGGAGAGGGTGGTTAGACTGGTGAGTGGGTTGGTGAGTAGATGAGTAAATGGATGGATAGTCAGTGGGTAGATGGATGGACAGATAGATCAATGGGTGGGTGGTTGGGTGGATCATATGACCAAATGAATGAATGAAAGAATGAATGTGTGATTGCTAAACATACAAAACCATTACCGACAAGGATGGTTTCGATCTCCTCGCAGGGTTTTCTGATTTGCTGCTTCCTCCTCCCACTGAGTGTCTCTTCTGGAGGCCAGGGTGGGAGGTAGAAGAGGATGGCCATGGAGATCAGTGCCCAGAGTAGACAGCGTGCCATTGGGCAAGAGGAGTACAACCTGTACAGCAGCCTGGGCGAGGATGAGCTGGTCCAGATGGCCATCGAGCAGAGCCTGGCTGACAAGACAAGGGGCGCCACCACTACTGAGGCTGCCGTGTCTGCTCGTGCTAACTGCCCACCCGCCCATTTCTACCCGTGGACCAGGTGAGCAAGGGGACCAACGAGGGGAACAGGGCCTCAGGTCTTTGCCATCTGGGGCATCCATAAGTTGCAGATCCCAACCACTGTTAATCCAAAACTAAGTTATCCCAGTGTCTAGGATGCACCTAAGCGCCTTCATGTTTACATTTATTATCTAACTTTATTGAGCTCTGACTATGCCAAGTGCTGTTAGGCGCTGTGCACATCTTGCCTCATTTAATCCTCTTAAGGACCCTCGAGGCAAGCCCTGTGCTATATTCTCATTTCACAGATGAGGAAACTGAAGCTCAAAGAGGCTAAGCAACTTGTCTGAGATCACACAGCTAGTAGGCAGTGTTGCAGAGATTGGAACCATCTGGCTCCAAAGGCCATGCGCTCGCCTTGCACCACTGGTTTTATGTTGGAATGAGGTGGGACTGATGTTTTGAGTCCTACCAGCGCTTCCAACCCTATCCACGCAGTCTCCCTGGGAAAACGTGCCTGGGAAACAAAGCACATCTGCCGGGCAAAGCCATCCTGCCCCTGGCCAGGCTCCCCTGTCTTAACACCCCCCTCATCATCCCACTCCCAGGACTAGCTAGAGCACTGCCCACCAGCAGAAACGACCCGAGCCAGAACTGCAATCCACCTATGCGATTTTGAATTTCCTATTCCGCCACTGCCAGTTGTCATCAAGTCAATTCTGACTCATAGCGTGTGTCAGAGCAGAACTGTGCTCCATAGGGTTTTCAATGGCTGATTTTTCGGAAGTGGATCACCAGGCCTTTCTCTTGAGGCACCTCTGGTTGGACTCAAACCTCCAATCTTTCAATTAGCAGCCAAGCATGTTAATCACCTGCACCTCCCAGGGGTTCCAAAAGTTTCTATAAGCCGCATTTAAAAATAGTAAAAGCTAACAGGTGGAATTAACTTTAATCATATATTGTATTTACTCCAATATGTCTACAATATTATCATTTCCACTTGCGATCAATGTAAAAACTAGTAATGAGATTTTTACATTCCTTCTTTCACATCACCTCTTTGAAATCCAGCGTGTGCTTTATACTCACCTGAAAACAACCAAACCCACTGCTGTTGAGTTGATTCCGACTCATAGCAACTCTGTAGGACAGAGTAGAACTGCCCTGTAGGGTTCCCCAGGCTGTAATCTTTATGGAAGCAGATTGCCCCATCTTTATCTTGTGGGGTGGCTGGTGGATTCAAACTGCCGACCTTTCAGTTAGCAGCCAAGCATTTAACCAACGCACCACCAGGGCTCCTTTTTGTACTCACTGCACTTCTCGGTTTGGAACAGTCACATTTCAGATGCTCACTAGTCACATGTGGGCCAGTGGCTACTGTGCTGGACAGCTCAGATCTGGAGGACACTTTCCTTGTCAGATGTGGGAACCGGAGAGGTAATTGTTTCATTCTAAAATGCTTTTAGAAAAGAAAGATGCAAATTTAAAAAAAAAAATGCTTTTGCTCATTTATTGAGCCCAGGTAAGTGTAACTGGTGTGGCCCTGGGGTGTGGGCCTCAAATCTCACTGTCCCCAGCAGCCAACTGACTCCCTGTGTGACCTTGGGCAAGTCACTGAACCTCTCTGAACCTCGGCTTCCTTCTCTGGGAATAATAACACCAATAAACACACTGTTTCCAAAGTCTAGTCACAGTTGACAGGGGATGAAGGTGGGTCATGGTGCACCCCAGCCCTGCCTCCTGATGAAACTTAACAGGGTTCTTCTCAAGTGACTTTGCCCCTTGGTGAGGCTGGACCACCTCTGCCAGGCAGGCTGGACAAAGGCCCAGGCTCCCGGAGCGGAGGGGGCCCTTCTAGATGGTAAGGCCTCAGTGTCCTCGGGCAGCTGGAAGGCAGATGAGGCTCCAGGACCCTGAGCTGCCCCTGAGGATGTCCCATTCTGCAACCTAACCAGAAACTGGGACCCGGAGCCAAGGACCTGGTTCACGGGGGCCTGTGCTAAGAAGGCCCTGGTTCCTGTTCCGGCTGGTTCAGCTGAAGTCAGACTACAGGCTCCTTTTTCTCAGGAGGGGATCAGGTTGAGAGAAGAGCATCCTCGCTGGGAAGACAGGCAGCCAGCACGTCCCCCGGGGCATCTGCAGCCTCCGCCCCTGTGTGGAAGCCCACCGGAGTCCCAAGGACACTTAAACACATCAGAGCTGAGTGTCCCAGAGGCCCAGACCCTGAGCTCCTCCTCCGTCTAGTGGGCAGGACATGGAGACCCCGGTGGGGCATTTATCCAGACTCCTAGGAACAAAGTTCCCACAGAGACATGAAATGGCTTATCCAAGGTCACATCACCCTCACCTAAGACCCAGGCACCAGGAATGTAGGGGAGGATTCAACATGCATCTTCTGACTCTTGAAGTGACCTGAATGCCCCCCAAGTTCCGTTCTGCCCCTTCGTCTCTGGAAGCAGGCCTGGCTTAGGCCCTGGTGGGCAAGCAAACCCCATTAATGGGATTTCTAAATGCAATTCTCCTCCTCCTCATCCTTCTTCCTCCTCCCCCAAGTGCACACGGAGCTCTTCCCCTGGGCTGGCAAACGTCAATTCACGTCATACTTGTAAGAGCCTCCCAGTGAGAATGTACCCATTTTACAGATGATGAAACATGTGCCCAACAGAGTCAGGAATGAACCCAAGTCGGCCCCGCTCTGAAGCTCAGACACTTAGCCAGGCTCTGCCGGCTCAGCAAAGCCCCTTTTCTGTTTCTTCCTCCCCTTTCTAAGTCGGGTTTTGGTCTCATTACATCCGCCTCCCACCACGGAGATCTGAAGTTCCCAAAGATGTGTGGCACACATACTTGAGCTCTCATCTGCCCAGACATCACAGGACAGACGGGACCCTGGTTCACTTTATCCCAAGTATCATAGTTCCCATTCAAAGAGACACAGAGGAGGTTTAGGAAAAGGGTATTCATACATGTCCCTGGGGCTCCACATGGCCAGCCACTTCTCATCCTGTGGGTTATGCCAGCTCCTCGGGTCCTGCTCGACCACCGTCCCAGGCCAAGTGGGTCACCCCTGACTCACTCTTGCCTTACTGCTTCCTTCATGGCTGACAACTTAGAATTTTTATTCATTTCTGCCTGTTTCCATCATTAGACAGGAAGCTCCCTGAGGGCAGGGACCTCATCTGTCTGTCTCCCTGTGTAGCTCAGTGCCTAGCCCAGGGCCTGACCCATGGCAAAAACCATAGAGATATCTGTGAGTGAATAAATGGGTGAACAAAGGAATGAATGAAGAGGCAGCAGAGTCAAAGTGGAAAGAGAAGTGTGTTTGGAGTTGAAATCCTTCCTCTATCATTTACTGGTTGTGCAACCTTAGGCAAGTTACTTAATCTCTCTGAGCCCCGACAGCCTCATCTCTAAAATGGCAATAACAAATACTTGCCCTGCTGGTCCTGCAGTGTGCTTATGGAAAGCACACAAGATGAGTTAGGTGTACGAGCCCTCCTAACCCTCTGCAGCTTGAGCCGGCCTCCCCTACCTCCTCCCTCGTGCTCGCCTTGTGCTCTCTCTGCTTCCCAGACAAGCTTACTTGCCACCCTGGGCAGGCCTGGTCTGGCCCCCTGACAGTGTCCCCAGCTACACTGTCATCTCCTTGGGGACCACGAACAGATATTATCCATTATTGTATCCTTCATGCCCAGCATAGAGCCCGGATCATTCTAGGTGCCCAGTAAATGCTTGTAGGCAAATAAGTGCACTTGGGAGGAGACTTGGTGGCACAGTGGTTAAGAGCTCAGCTGCTAACCGAAAGGTCAGCAGTTCGAACCCAGTGGCTGCTCCTTGGAAATTCTATGAGCAGTTCTACTCTGTCCCATAGGGTCGCTATGAGTCGGAATCCACTCCACAGCAACAGAGTTTAGGTGTATTTGGAAGCCAATACGATGCTCTAGAAATGTAATTGATTGCTTTCATCTTGCGACCGAGACAGCAACTGTGGACATAAAGATTCAACTCAGTCTTTGGGATCCTAGAAACAAAAGCCAGATCAGCATCCCAAAGAAAATGGGATATTCCCTCTTGAAGCCATTTTGCAATTGCTTCTCTCCCAGCACGGTGTAAGGGACGACGTTTGAAACATGCACGAGGATCACTTGCCAACACTGGCCCGCTGAGGGCTCCTCAAGGCAGATCTGGTTTTGCATTCCATGGAGAAGTAGGGTGTGTGCATCCATGAAGCCGGGAGCCCCCGGCTACCCTGGCTGGACAAGTCAGAGCGGGCTCAGGAAGCTGGGTCTTTACACTCTTTAAACTTCTGCATTTTATTTATGGTTACATTTCTAAGAAGGCAAAGCAGAAAAAGATGATGCAGGCACTTGCTTAGGCTAGTGTGTGCACAGCTGCAAACAATGCAAATCAAGCCACCCTCAATACTGTGCACTTGTAATGTGCCAGTTGCCTTCCTGGCACTTGGATGTGAATCACCTGGGCCCTGTCCTCCCCAGGCTCACAGTTAATGGGGATCAAGGCCCAGAGGCACATGATGACCCACAGGAAAACAGCAATGTGCTCGATCCAGTTTCAGAGGAGAGATGCAGAAAGGGTTGATTCACTTGGTTGAGGAGGTGGGCTTTGCAGAACGAATAGGAGTTTACCAAGCAGACTAGAGGAAGCAAGCCTCTTTGAGCCTCCTTCAAAGAGTGGACTGGAGAACTGGATGAGAGGCCTTGTGCAATGAGCCTGCTATGCAGCTCAGCCAGCAGCAAGCACCTGGTGAATCGCTGCAAGGTGGGAAAGCAGAAGTTGCTGCAGCAGGGAGTTGCATTTTTCTCAACATACGGTGCCTCTCTGCACAGACCTGGAGGGACGGATTGGCCAGTAGGTGAGGGGAAAACAGAATGCTCATGGGTGGGAGCCTGAGTCCAGAGACCCTATGGGAATGGAGCCAGGGTTGGTTATAAACTGTCAGCCCTTCCCCTCTCCCAAGAGGACAGGTGCCTGGTTCTCCAGCAATTGAAATCTTGGCACAAAACCACACAACGCCAAGTTTACCACATGAGGATTTACCCCTTGAGAGATTTCCTTCATCAAAATGTATAGAGCTCCCACTGTGCGCCAGTCACTGTACTGTGAAACCTGCGCATGTCACAGGGTTGGTGTGAGACTAGAGGAGGGAGCAGATGTAAGGGTGCTGGCACATGGGATTTGGACAGTAAAAAAAACCAAAAAAACCCGTTGCCGTCGATTCCAACCCATAGTGACCCTATAGGACAGAATAGAACTGCCCCATAGGGTTTCCAAGGAGCAGCTGGTGGATTCAAACTGTCGAACTTTTGGTTGGCAGCTGAGCTGTTTAACCACTGCACCACCAGGGCCCCTAGACTCCCCATATTTGCTAACTCCCTTCCCTATTAAGACGCCTGCTGCCGTCTGCATTCAGGTCAACTCACGGCCCTTCCTGGGCTGGCCTGGGCTCCTGATGAGCTCCGACAAGCAGCCCATCTGCAGGCTCACCCAGGGCCTGGGGCCGATGGCACCTCAGCCCTGCTCATCACTCTCACTGAGCCTGACCCGGGACTCCAGGATTGGGGTGATGGTGACACTGGGGTGGGCTGCACTGCCTCCTCCACACCTGCCTGCCAACAGCCGGAAGGCCCTGGGCGCTACCGGGCCTCTTCTAGGTCATGACCTTTGTCTACCTCCCACCCCAGCCAGGCCCTCTCACCTCGGATGACTCAGCCGGTGGTGTGCTCTGCTGGGAGTTCCCCTGCTCTGGGCCTCCAGGGGAAGTGGGGCCTCCAGCTTTGATCGGAAAGATCACGTAGGCCTGGCTCCCCATTCAGCTCAGAGACTCACAACTCAGTAACTCTGAGCAGTCACCCTTCTGGCCCCCAAAACCAAGTTAGTGCACCCCCATTTCCATGCTCCCAGACAATCCCTCCTGCCTTCACCCCAGCTCCTCCCCTACAGCTCTGTGGTTGTGTGTGTCCTCGTCCCCCACCCCTCTGGCCTGTGAGCATCGAGGACCAACAGAAGAAGCGTCCTACGGATCTTTTTAGCCCCAGCCCCCAGCACGGGGCCTGGCACCCAGCAGGAGCTGGGATGTCTTTGCCAAATCAAACTCAGTCTTTATTTCCTCATCTGCAAAATGGGAACAATACCTCCCCTGCCTCCATCAGACAATGCGGAGGATGGAAATGAGGCAAAGCCTGGACTGGCTTGGTGAACGCTCGCCCTGTACAGACAGGGTGTGGTTGCCAGAATCATCTCACCGGCCCCGTCAGCCCCACTGTCGCTGCGGCCGCTGTTGTTATTACGCTGTCAGAAATAGGTCCTGGTTTTGAGTAGTATGGTGGTTTCTCACCAGTGCTTATTACCTCGCTGGGGCAGTGGAGGTTCGGTGATAGGATTCTCGCCTTCCATGGGGGAGACCTGAGTTCAATTCCCGGCCAATGCACTTCATGCGCAGCCACCACCCATCTGTCAGTGGAGGCTTGCGTGTTGCTATGATGCTGAACAGATGTCAGCAGAACTTCTGGACTAAGACGGACTAGGAAGAAATGCCTGATGGTCTACTTCTGAAAATCAGCCAGTGAAAACCCTATGGATCACAATGGTCCGATCCACACCCAATCATGGGGCTGGACCAGGACCGGGCAGTGTTTTGGTCCGTTGTGTGTGGAGCTGCTATGCGTCCAGGTCCATTTGTTGTCAACTAACAACAAAATGATCTTACTGAAAACATTCTAACCACAATAAGTGATTGAGTTCCAAGTATGGACAGTGATGAGGGCAGCCATGACCCAGGGATCACAGGGAAAAAGACACCAAGGGCCTTGTTAAGGCTGCAGGGCTGGTGAGCTTGGAGGGTGGCTGGCTCCGGGCCTGCACTCCACTCCTCTCTGCCCAGCTCTCCCCCTTACTCAGGCAGAGAATGCTCAGAGAACACTGAGCTCAGCACTTCAGGGCCTAGAGCATCGCCCCCCCGCCCCCAGGACAGCCCCGTTAGGTCTGTTTTACACGCTGAGTTTCCCAGAAGAATTCATTTCTGCAAAGGCTCCGCAGCTACAAAAGCAGCAAGGACCCCCCTGGTCGGGTCTTACCCCATTTACAAATGAAGAAACTGAGGCTGAAGTCGCAGGCCCGTGAGTGCGGAGGCTGCAGACCTGGACAGAGGATCGAAGGAAGCGGGAAGGCAGGAAGGTCTGTGCCTTTGGAGGACGGAGCGCAGTCAGGGCTCTGGCAGAGACCCCGAGTCCGCATCTCGCTCACGCACCAGCTGTCTATGGCTCCGGGCAGTTCCTCACCCTCTCAGTGCCTCGTCTGCAAGAGGGCAGTGACCTGAGCACCACTTCCTAGGGTGGCTGTGAGGATTAAAGCATTAACACACACCAAGGGCTGATGGTGGCATCTTGCCCCACCTTGGACGACGAGCGTGATGGTGGAGATGGCCAGGCCTGGAGCCAGCCCTGAGACGGGCCGAAGCAAGGACTCTGAGTGTCCTCCCTTCTCCCTCTGCCTCTCCACCGCCCTGTGGCCCTCTGAGGGGGGTCCGTAAATCTGTGGGTTCCAGCCTGTCCTGGGAGAGTATGGGTCCTTCCAAGGTCACCATCCCAGCACCCCATGCCCAAGGGTGCCTGTTGCCAGCAGTGATGCCCTTCCATCGCACAGGGTCCCCCAGAGGCATGCCCAAGACTGGCTGGGCCTGCTGGGGTGTAGATGGTGGGGGCGTGGCACTGCTGGGAGAAGGCTGGCATGGGCCACATGCCAGTTCTCACTCCTGGTTCTCACTGTGGCTGTCGCACCTCCTTCAACCCGTCCATCCTCACAACAGCCCGATGGGGTGAACGCGGCGCACGGAGGGCCAGAGAGGTGCAATGACATATGAAAGGTCATTAGGCGTGCAGCACCCCCTCTCTGCCCAACACTCCGCTATGCACTGTCTACCGCTCACTCATGCAGGCCCCACCCAGGCCGAGCAGACAGTGCTGTTCTCACGACCATCCTACAGGTGGGGAAACTAAGGCACCGAGTTTCCACCTGCCCAAGGTCATGTGGCTAGGAAGTGCCAGAACCTGGATTTGAACCTGTGTCCATGCACAGCCCTGGCCCTGGATGCCTTCCTCCTGACCTTCTTGCTGCGACCCATATACTGTTTGCTTCAGACTCTTGGGGTGGAGGCGGGGCACGATTCTCTCATGAGGAGTTGGCAAGGTGGGATGGGGGGCACCGATGTGGCTTGGTTTCTCTGCTTTGCCCCTGTCCCCGGCCCTCCATGAGTCTCTTGTCCAGCCCCGAGGCCCGTTCACCCTGGGCCCTGCAGCCCACGACTTCTCATATCCTTCCGGGGTGAAGAATGTCACCTTGCTCCGTATCTGCCTCCACGCGTGGTTGGCTGGGGAAGGGGACTGAGAGGTGGGGGTGAGGTTAACCTCATTGTTGTCTTATATGGTCATTTAACTCTCCCAGGGCTTCCTCCAAGGGCCAAAAATAATCCGGAGACACAGCAGCTGTGACCAGAACGCAGGGAGGACGCAGCCATCTGCTCTGGTGCAGAGCCCGCATCTGTCTGTCTGCCCCCTCTCCCCCTGGCGCTCCCTGGGCCTGCCTCCAGCCATGACCCGCTTCTCCTATGCAGAGTACTTCTCTCTCTTTCACTGCTGTTCTGTGCCCTTCAGGTCCGCTGCACCGCCTGAGAGCCCACCGGCCTCGGCCCACTTGGGCTTGTTCCAGGGGGTCATGCAGAGGTACAACAGCAGATTGTTGAAGACCTCCCAACCGGTGTAAGTGACCCCCACCCTGGGACTGTCCAAGTTCACTCCCCCAGTTGGACTTGCAGGGGTGTAGGAAGTGGCCCGCGGCATCCAGGAAGGCAGGGACACTGAGGGGAACCTCCCAGGCCAGCCCCTCCCAGGCGCGTCCCTCTCCGGCCCAGCTGCTTCTGCTGAGCTGGCACGGTGGCCATAGACCCCATCCTCAATGAGTGCCAGCCAGGCTGGCGTGGGATTCTCCCTCCAATTCCCTGGGTAGGGCCTGGGTGCTGGAATAACCCCCACGAAGCGCTGTGTCGGGGACTAGCAAGAGGGAAGCCCAGTGGAGTTCAGAGCTGAAACTGAGGAGTTGTTACATCTCTGGTCTACCCCCTTGCCTCCCTGTCCCCTAGGTTTTGTTTTGCTTTGTGGCCCTTCTGTGCTAAGTCCCAGGTGCCAGGCCCAGAAGGCATCAGAGCTACGGGAGGATTCTGTTGGGCTGGCCCTGGGATCCTGGGCTAGTTGGGGTCTTGGAAAATAGCCCTGTCCTCTTCCCTTCTCCACTCCCCCATTCCACCCCAGAAGCAGCTAAGAGCAGAAGAGGGGTTCCACCACTGCAACCCCTATTGCTTTGCTCAGTTATGTAGCAGACGGGGAGGAGGGACTTAGCCAGTGTTCCGTTCTCCTTCCGAGCTCCTTTCACCCCTTCCGCCCCCAGAGCCTTGGTGCTGCTGGTGGAGTTGACAGTTTGGGAAGGGAGGGAGTCTCGGGTCTGTGTCCACGCTGCTGCCACCTCCTGTGTGATGTCCAGTGAGTCACTGCCCCTCTCTGAGCCCCCCTTCTCTGTGAGGCAGAGCTGGAGTAGACCAAGTGGCCTCCCGGGTCCTGGTCTCAGATCGCCTGGTGTCCCCCAGCAGCCTCCCCCACGTGGGCGGGGAGTTTGGCTGAGATCACAGAGAAGCCGTTAGTGTGTTTGGCTGAGAGTCCTGGTACCTGGCCCTGTAGCTCGAGACCCAAGCCAGGTGGGGGGTCCTGAAAGTGTTCCCATGACACGGTGCCCCTCCCCCAGCCCCCAAGACCACAAGAACAGCCTGCCCTCCGCCTTCACTGCAGCTGGCTCCCATAGGAGACCTGGGGAGTTGGGACACATACCCCACCGGGGTTCTGCCTGATGCCAAAGGGGCCGCTCGGGCCGCTCCTCATGGGCCCCGTCGATGTGGCAGTGATGGTGTTGACGGGACGTCAGGGTGTATCTGGTCCAGTTCCCCATCGGCTTTGCCGCATCTGTAAACTCAACCGGCACCTTATTTGCTCTGTTGCTATTAATACCTGAAGAGGCTGAGAGCTGAGAGGAAGTGCCGCTCACGCTGGAGGAAGTTGCTGGGAGGGGGTAGCGGCTGGCACTGGAGACCCTCAGAGCTCAGCCGGCCCCCTGAAATGGGAGCCCCCAGCCTCACCTTCTCCGTCTGGGAAATGGAACCATTTATGGGGACCCTCCCCGGGAGTGGGCCTGAGAGTCTTAGCAGTTGTGGTCCTCACTGACTCTCCAAGGATGGGGATGGGGGTGGGGGGGGCTCAGTGAATGAATGAATGAATGAACGAAGTGGCTTTAATGAGCCAAGCAAAGAATGTGTCATTCACACTAGCCTTGAAATCTCTTTGATATTCAGAAGTTTTAAATCGCAAAGGGTCCACATTCAGTTTTAAACTGTGAAGGGTTCAAATGTATTAATCCTCAAGTATCGAAGTCTTCCAGCAGCTAAATGTTCTGGGGGCAAGGATGGAGGGAGGGAGGGAGGGGGAGAGCTGGGAAGCACCCCCTAAATGTGGAATGTGAACAGGGGCCTCACCTGAGGGTCTGGGCTTCGTCTTGGAGCTGCTGAGAGCCTGGGCCCACGAAGGTCGATGCCTGTACCTGTGACGGCACCACGCTCCAGGGAGACATTTGATGGCTGAAAAAGCTTCCACTTAGGGACATTTGTACCGGCCCTTGGAGAGTGGCAGTCTGTGTCTAATCCTCTTTGTCAGAAGTGGCCTCGGGATAACAGTAGCTGCGGTCACTGAAGGTGGCTCCCCAAACTCTTTCCTGCCACCAAGGAACGCCATCCACAAGGGTGCCTCAGTTCCACCTGCAGAAGTAGAGGTACTTGCTGTGCTTCCGCCTGCTTCTAGCAGAGCTTTACTGAGCGCCCACGCTGTGCCCTATGTGGGCTCAGCTCAGGGACACAGATGTGGAAAAGCCCCGAGTCTAGAAACACACGCAGGGAACCGGAATGGACAAGACTTGATCCGGAGTCCCCACACTTAGCTTCATAAACCAACTCACAGCGACCCTGTGAGACAGATTAGAACTGCCCCAAAGGGTTTCCAAGGCTGCAAATCGTTCCGGGAGCAGACTGCCACATCTTTCTCCTGCGGAGCAGCTGGTGGGTTCGAACCGCCACTAACTGCTCGATTAGCAGTTGAGCACTTAACCACTGCACCATGGGGCTCCTTCCCTCTTGAACAAGATAAGTGTAAATAAATATAATTCCCAAAGAAAGATGCACAGGTCTAGCGGGGGAAGAGGCAGTCTTTCGGAAACAGAAGAGATGAAGGAGTGAAATAATCGTTGGAGTTCCCATCGCATGCCAGGGTCCAAATTCATTCATTCATACATTTATTTTTCATATGACAAATATTTTTGAGCACCTCTATGGACCAGCCACTGAGCCAGAGCCTGGGAGTAAAATGGTGAGGGATAAAGAAAGACACTGTGCTGCCCTCAGGGAGCTCATAGTTTAGTGGGGGGATAAACGTGAGTTGTCAAGGCCGATGGTCATTTGAGGCTCCTGGTTGGGGGACTGACCTGGTCGGGGAGTTTGCTGTCCTCCGGCTAAGGAAGCCGAAATGGGCTGAGGGCTGGAGGGGCCAAGTCAGGGCTGGTTCTGGTGGACAGTCTTCACAGTGCACACCTGTGTGGGTCAGGAACGGTCATTCTCCCCCTTTCCCCTTGAGGACACTGGGCTACAGGCGGCCGAGCACAGGCCTAGAACCCAGCACTGCATGACCCCATAGCTGGCGATACTCCCTGCCACCCCTAGCTCCTGTTTTCCCTCTGGGAGAGAGTGACTCCCCCCCACTGCTCTCACAGGGACCCCATGCTGCAGGCCATCAAGGAGGGCGATGAGGAGGCTCTGAAGGCCAGAATCAAGGCAGGGGAGAGCCTGGCCGAGCCCAACAAGGAGGGCTGGTTGCTGCTGCACGAAGCCGCCTACTACGGCCAGCTGGGCTGCCTGAAGGTCCTGCTTCGAGGTGAGGGCGCGTAGCTGGGGCCCCCAAGGTGGGCCTGGGACGTAGGGGGAGGGGAGAGGACCCCTTCCCGCTGGAGCTCCGTGAGGAGGGCCAGGCAAGGCTGTCGCGCCTGTTCGGCAGCTAAGGTCACTGCGATGGCAGAGATGAAGTGGCTTGCCCCCACCCACTCCAGCACCCTCCCAACCACCGCTCCAGGCCCGCCAGGACAGGGGCGCCCAGTTCCTAGAAAAGGAATGAGGAAGGCCGGCTTTTGGAGAGCCACCTCAGCTTGTTTCAGGATGAAGCTTCCAGGGCTGATTTGGTGTGGAAAACATGCAGCTGTGCCTGTGCCCAGCCAAGGCCGCCCCCACCTCTGGGGGACTGTGTGGGAGCCCCGCCTCCTCCTGAGCCAGATCCGGATGAACAATGCCTGCAGGCAGGGCCCCTAGCTTCCTGGGTGAATGAAAAAGACATATCTCTGCACTCAAGGAGTCCCTGGGTAGAACAAAGGGTTAAGCGCTCGATTACTAACCATAAAGGTTCGAGGGTCAAGTTCACCCAGAGGTGCCTCGGAGGAAAGACTTGGCAATCTACTTCTGAAAAATTAGCCTTTGAAAACACTATGGAGCACAGTTCTACTCTGACACACGTGGGGTGGTCATGAGTCAGGATCGACTCAATGGTAACTGTTTTTTTCTTTTTTCTCTCTGCCCTCAAGCAGCACAGACCCCAAACAGCCCACCAGGCTCCAGGGCAGAAACAATTGCGTGAGACTTCGAGTTTCCCGCAGTGGCTAGTGGGCTAGCAAAGGAAAGCAAGGGTCATTCAGAGAGGGAGGCGGGCCAACCAGGGAAGGCTTCCTAGAGGAGGTGGTGTCCGAGTGGACTTCTATGATTGGACAGCAGAAACAGCCTGTAAAAGTGACAGGGTCCAGGACAAAGAGGATGAGGGCAGGCTGGGGTTGGTTAACGCCAGAGGATGCTGTACATTTCTGTCTTTGTAACTGGGAGCAAATTGGGAATGCCTCGTGTTTGGGGGGACGCATGTCTCCCTAATTCATGAATTCCCTGTCTGTCCTCCTCCCAGCATATCCGGCAACCGTGGACCAGCGCACCCTGCAGGAGGAAACGGCCCTCTACCTGGCAACGTGCAGGGGACACTTGGACTGCCTCCTGTGGCTGTTGCAGGCTGGGGCAGAGCCTGACATCTCCAACAAGGCCCGAGAGACACCGCTCTATAAAGGTGAGTCCCTCGGGTGGGCTTCCCTGAGGAAGAGGCCAGAGTCTAGGCAGGCATCCCATAAGCACGTAAGGCGAGAGGCTCGTTTGGATGCATAATTCATGTCCTTGAATCATTCATTCATGCATGTATTCAGCCACCATTTCCTGAGTGCCTCCCATATGTCAGGCACGCTGAGGGTGCCGAGGGTCCAAAGATGAAAAGATGTGGACCCTGCCCGTGCAGCACTCTGAGTCCAGCAGGGCACAGACACACGGACAATGTGACAGTCAGCTAATGGTAATGAGCTTGGCCTGGGTGGGTGGGGGGAGGTATGAAGGAAGGGCACCCAAGGAAGTGGTGCCTGAGCTGAGCCTGAACAGGAGGAGTTTACCAGCTGGACAAGCATGAGGAACAGCACAGGCAAAGGCAAGGAGGTATGAAGAGAGTTTGTACCTCAGGGATGTTTGTTTAAGAAAAATAAGTGGACGTCATCCAAGGACATTCATTGAATGCCCGAGCAGAGCCTAGAGTCAAGATCTGAATAATCTTAATAAAGAAAACCAGTTGCTGTTGAGTTGATTCCGACTCATGGCAATCCCACGTGTGTCAGAGTAGAGCTGTGTTCCATAGGGTTTTCAATGGCTGATTTTTTTCAGAAGTAGATCACCAGGCCTTTCTTCCAAGTTACCTCTGGGCTAATAGTTGGCATTTATTGTGTGTTTACTGTGTGCCAGGCACTGTTATTTCATTTAACACTCATTTCCACCTACATAAGAGGTAGATACTGCTACTATTCCCATTTCACAGATGAGGAACTGAGGCATGGAGATGGGAAATAAGTTGCCTAGGACCACACTGCCAGCAAAGGGTAGACCTGGGATTTAAACTCAGGCAGCTGATGCCAGCACCACACACTGAACATTACAAAGCATCTAGTCCATGGTGGCACAGTAGTTAAGAGCTCGGCTGCTAACCAAAAGGTCAAGCAGTTCGAATCCACCAGCAGCTCCTTAGAAACCCTATGGGGCAGTTCTATTCTGTCCTGTTGGGTTGCTATGAGCCGGAATCAACTCGACGGCAACAGATTTGGTTGGTTTGTTTTTTTTTTGGTTAGTCCGTGCCTACACACGTAAGCAATCAGCTTGGGGTCCTGTAAAATGATGCCTTTACGCTTTGAAAAACTATGGAAACCTCTAATTTCCCACGTGGGTGGTCGGTAGCTGGTGCTTGGAACATTCAGTGGGAAGCAGGAATAATGGCAGGTATCCGGGTCAATTGCAGACCCACAGTGGAAGGGCCTCCCCAGAACCCATGCCTGCCTGGGCACCAGATCCATCACCTGGGGCCTCGGGTGTCCCAAAGAGAGCTCCATGGAGCTGGGCAAGTCACAGATGAAAGCCTGGGCCTTGGTCCTGCGTGTACTCCTGCTATGTGCCAAGCACCAGGCTACTGCTTGCATGTACCATCTCACTCAGAACTTCCACAGCATCCTCTAAGGAAGGTTTTATTATCTCCATGCCATAGGGGAGGAAGCCCAGGCTCACAAAGGGCGAGAGCTCTGCCTGTGGTCCAGTTTGAGACACTCCACAGGCAGCCTCCCCAGACTGACTCAGAGAAGCTTCCAGATGACTGACACCACCTGAAGCCTCCCTGGTGATAACTCTGGGCCAGAGCCAAGGGTGCATTTGAGGTCTACAGAGAGATAAGGCTTGACAGGGAGGTTTGAGCACGTTGAGAAAGACTTGGTGAGTGGTGCTCAGCAAGATAAATTTTACCCCAAATTATGAGTAGTCTTTGAGGAGGGGTTTTGAGCAGGAATATGGCATAGTCTGCTCCTCATCTAGAAGATTCTTTTGACCTTGGTAATGTGGAGGATTGAAGCAGGTAACACTGGAAGGGGAGACAAGTTTGGGAGATTCTGGAACATTCCAGGGGACAGAAGGCAGCTCCCTGGCAAGGCAGTGAGAAATAACACAAATGTTGTTAGAGGAAATGCCACAAATGATTTAAAAGTGATCCTGACAAGACCTCAGTGGTACCTGTACCTCACTTGAGACTCAAGGGTTTGGATATTGGAAGCACTGTGAAGGTAGACAAGTTGTCCATCTTGTTCTGTGATTAAGAGCACAGACTCTGGAACCAACTACCTGGGTTTGAATCCCAGCTCTGCCACTTACTATCTGTGTGACCTTGGGCAAGTCACTTACCCTCTCTGTGCCTCACTTTCCCCATCCGTAAAAAGGGGATAATAACACTACAGGTAGTCCCAGACTTACGACATATTTAAGTTACGATGAACCGTGCTTACCACCATCTTCTTTTTTTGACATCTTATCATTAGTAATATATCCTACATATAATGTTGCAGCATTATCATTCTCAGCTGGTCACTCACAGATGTTCAAAGAGTGGATTTATAAAGATATGGATAATAAAAGGCAATAATAATGAAAACTAAAAGAAAGAGAAGTATTTGATGTCAGAATGTAATTTCGTCGTAAGTCTGGGACTTATAGTAAGGTACATACATTAAGGGTGGTTGGGAGAATTAAATTAGTTAACCCATGTAAAGTGCTTAGATCAGAATACCTGGCACATAACTAGCCTTATATACATGTCAGCAGGTATTACTGCTAGTATTAGCATTAGTATTACAATTAGTTATATAGCCTAGGGCCAATGCAGGACCTGGAACATAGTAAAGACTCAGTGGATATTTGTTGAGTGAATGGCTGATGAATGGGTGAATGAACTGATGAATGCAGTCTTGGGTGGCCCTGTCCTGCCAGCCACCCTGCTGACGGTCTTGCTCTTCCCTGGGTACAGCCTGCGAGCGCAAGAATGTGGACGCAGTGAGGATTCTGGTGCAGTACAATGCGGACACCAACCATCGCTGCAACCGAGGTTGGACAGCTCTGCACGAGTCCGTCTCGCGCAATGACCTGGAGGTCATGGAGATCCTGGTGAGCAGAGGCGCCAAGGTGGAATCCAAGAATGCCTACGGCATCACCCCGCTGTTCGTGGCCGCCCAGAGTGGGCAGCTGGAGGCCCTAAGGTTCCTGGCCAAGCATGGTGAGTGACTGAGGGTCCCTGGGTCATGGAGTCCCTGGGTCATGGAGTCCCCAGGGCACATCTGGGAAGGACCTCAGAGATTAGCTCTAAGATAGCAGCTTCCTTGAGTGCTGGGTAGGGAAGAATTCTGAAGTTATGTCTAGGCTCAGTGGGAAATAGTGCTGAGATCCATTAGTGATGTCTGCAATTAGGACAAACATGGGGAGCGGGGGCACATGTGCCACATATTTACCACTTTAAGGACTAAGGTGAGCCTGACCCAAGCCATAGTATTTTCAGTCACCTCATATGCATGCAAAAGCTGGACAATGAATAAGGAAGATCGAAGAAGAATTGAAGCCTTTGAGTTATGGTGTTGGTGAAGACTGTTGAATATAACATGGACTTGAAAGAACAAATCCGTCTTGGAATAAGTATAGCCAGAATGCTCCTTAGAAGTGAGGATGGCAAGACTTTGTCTCACATACTTTTGACATGTTATCAGGAGGGACCAGTCCCTGGAGAAGGACATCATGCTTGGTAAAGTAGAGGGTCAACGAAAAAGAGGATGACCCTCAATGAGATGGATCGACACAGTGGCTGCAACAATAGGCTCAAGCATAACAACGATTATGGGCATGGCACAGGACAGGGCAATGTTTCGTTCTGTTGTACACAGGATGGCCATGAGTTGGAACTGACTCGATAGCATCTAACAACAACAATAACAATCCAGCCCAACACCCTCATTTTGCAAATGAGGAATCTGTGGCCTAGAAAGGGAAGTGACTTCTCTAAGGTCATGTAACAAATTAGTGGCAGGACTAGCCAGACTCTGGGTCTCTTGACACCCCAACCACTTCTCTTTCCAGTAGGTCACATTCAGAGCCAGAAGGAACTCAGACAACATTTAGGATCTCCTCGTTTTGTAGGTGATGAAACCAAGGACCAGAATGGGAAAGTGATTTGTCTTAAGTCACACAGCAAATTAGTGGCAGAGCTGGGATTTAAACCCAGGTCTTTGGACTCTGCCTGTGAAATATCTTTACACACATAAATGGGGGAGATAAAATAATATTGCTTGCATTATGATGTCCCGGTAGCAGAAGACAATGGTAGATGTCCTTGTGGTCAATGAGCATTATATTCTGATCTTCCGAAGACCCCTTTGATTTCTTTTCTCTCTTAATGGGAAGTAATCCTCCCTCTCTAGCAACAGAGAGGCCAAAAGTAACTCAGACCTTGGGGATGAACTGGAATAATTTATTGGAGACCTACTGTGTGCCAGATACTCTGCTAAGCACAAACACAGATTGGATCAACGGAGTTTTCCCCATAGGCTTACGAGGTGGATACTGTTCTCGTCCCATTTTGTAGATGAGGAGACTGAGGCTCAGAGAGGTTAATGACTGGCTAGAAGTCCACGCAGTCGCAGAGCTTGGATTCTAACCTGCGTCCATCTGGCTCCAAACTGCATGCTCTCTCCACTGCACCACCCTACCTCGGGCCGTGAGAGTTACCAGCCCGGGGCTGTGCCCAGACAAGCTGACTTCCCAGCACGTGCCTGAGCAGTTGGGAAAACAGACCCAAGGCACTGCCTTCAGCCAGGGACAAACGCAGACTGAGCAGCTGGGGAACAAAGGGGCACAGGCAGGGTCCTGGGAGCCCAGACGAGGAGGCTGGATGCTCAGCAGGCAGCGGGGCGGGGGGGAGCTAGCTAACTCTTAACATCTACCCTGGTCCTGGTCTCCCGGTGGCACTCTGAGTCAGGGTCTGTTCCCTCTGTGGGCCGAGTCCATTTTAAAATCCAAATATTTTTCTTGTGTAGAGCAGGCAGCTTTGCTGGCGGGGTCCAGGCCTTCCAGGGAGCCTGACCTTGAGAGTACCGTGGAGCGTTAAAGAGCTGTGCGTGGCTCTCCCTCTGTATGGAGGGCAGAACTGGCCTCCCATGCTCAGTCCCTCTACCCTGGAGATTTACTGGCATTTTCTGAGCACCTGGGTGACACAAAGGTTAAGTGTTCGACTACTAGCTGAAAGGTTGGCAGTTCAAACCCACCCAGGGGCGCCTCGGAAGATCAGGCCTGGTGATCTGCTTTTGAATGGTCACGGTTTTGGAAATCCTATGGGGCTGTTCTACTCTGTACATGTGGGCTGCTGGCAACTAACAACAACAACAGCTGAGTACCTGCTGTGTATTGGGCACTCTGCAAGGTTTACTTACGCGACCTTAACCAGCAACTCCAAGAGGTAAGTACTATTTTTCCCAGTCAACAGATGGGGAAACTGAGGCTCCAAAAGGCTGCTAGAGCTACACAGCTTGTGAGCAGTGAAACGGAAGCTCTAAGTGGTCCACGTCCTGATCTCTTCCCACTAGACCAGGAGCCAGTCCCACCATCACTGAACATTTTAAAAATCACCAGGAAGTCTGAGATAAGCAGAACGCTCAAGGAGAGAGGAACTGTGGTTAACAGAGGCTTTGGATTTCAGCCCTTACCAGCTTTGAACTGCCGCAGTTCTATTTCCTTCTGGAGTAAGGAGGGCCTGGTGGGCAGGCTGCACCTGTCTTTGCAGAGAAACCTGTGTGCATGTCAGCTCTCTCCTTCACCACCAGGGGATGGAGGAGGTACAGAAGATTGGGCTAAAGGCAGACTAACATCAGGCTTCATCCCTCCTCCTTGCAACATGGTTTGAATATTTTCTTGAAAGGAGACAGAAAGCAATTCCCCTCTTATCTTTGAACAGCAAGGCAGAGAAGAACAAATCCCAATTGTCTTGGTCATCTAGTGCTGCGGTAACAGAAATACCACAAGTGGCTGGCTTCAACAAACAGAAGTTTATTCTTTCATAGCCCAGTAGGACAGAAGTCCAAATTCAGGGCGCCAGCTCCAGGGGAAGATTTTCTTCTCTCTGTCGACTCTGGAGGAAGATCCTTGTCATCAACCTTCCTGTGGTCTAGGAGCTTCTCTGTGCAGGAACCTCAGGTCCAAAGGACACACTCTGCTCCTGGTGCTGCTTTCTTGGTGGTATGAGGTCTCCCTGTCTCTGTGCTCACTTCTCTCTTTTATATCTCAAAAGAGATTGGCTTAAGACACTATCTAATCTTGCAGAGCTCATCAATATAACTGCCACTAATCCATCTCATTACATCATAGTTATAGGATTTACAACACATAGGGAAATCACATCAGATGACAAAATGGTAGACAATTATGCAATACTGGGAATCATGACCTAGCCAAGTTGACAGATATTTTTGGGGGACACTATTCAATTCATGACACCAATGAATAAAGTCCTGGGGGTTTTCCTCTACTGGGGGCCCTAGTTTCCTAGTCCTGTCATAACAAAATACCACAAGTGGGTGTTTTTGAAGAATACAAATTGATTGTCTCACAGTTCTAGAGGCTAGATGTCCAAACCAGGGTATCAGCCATGTTGATTCCTTCTGAGGGCTCCGAGAGAGGAACTGTCCCATGCCACTCTCCTAGCTTCTGCTGGTTGATGAAACCCTTGGCATTCCCTGGCCTGTAGCTGCACTTTCACACGGCGTCTTCCCCCATGTGTCTGTCTGTGTCTATTCTCTTGGATGGGACTAGGACCCACCTTTCATCCGTGGACTTTCTATTAACTGGTAACATCTTCAAAGAACCTGTTTCCAAAAAGGTCACGTTCACCAGGGGTTAGGACTTCCACATATCTTTTTTGAGGATACAATTCAACTCACAACAAGGGTTCTGTGTTCCCCTGGGGCTGGGAAAGGCCCCGTCTTACACACAGTGAGGGTTAACAGCATGGCCTCAGCCATCGGGCCATCTGGTTCAAGTTCTAGCTCTTCGTTTATGATCTAGGTGGTCTAGGGAGGCGTTGCTTAGGTTATCTGTCTTAGTGGCATCATCTGTGTGACATGGAGGTAAGAGAAGCACTTTATCCTACCTGGCCTCACTGGCTAACTTTCACAAACATGTGGAAAGCATGTGCCTGGTGCATCCTGAATGCCCAATATATGCCAGCATCATCCTGATGCCTGTAAGAGGCCCCTGGGTCTCGATGTTGTGGGAGGGAGCTGGGGGGTTCTCAGAGTGCATGCCTCCCCTCCAAGGTCATTGTAGTGTGCCATTGAGTCAATTCCAACTCATAGTGACTCTATAGGACAGAGTAAGATATGCCTTTCTAGGGAGCAGATTGCCAGTGACCCTACAGGACAGAGTAAGATATGCCTTTCTAGGGAGCAGATTGCCAGGTCTTTTCTCCCGTGGAGCCAATGGGCAGGTTCGAACCATTGATCTTTAGGTTAACAGCCAAGGGCTTAACCGTTGTGGCACCAGGACTCCTTCCAAGGGGCATAATGCAGATGAAATGATCTGATGCATCATGGTGGTTAGCACGCGGCGCCCAGCCCGGGGTGGGCGTTAGGTCCAGGATAGTGACTGCCGTGATCAGTCATTGTTCGCTTCCCCTTCACCAGGTGCCGACATCAACACACAGGCCAACGACAACGCGTCCGCCCTCTACGAGGCCTGCAAGAACAACCACGAGGAGGTGGTGGAGTTTCTGCTGTCACAGGGTGCTGATGCCAACAAGACCAACAAGGATGGCCTGCTGCCCCTGCACATGGCCGCCAAGAAGGGCAGCTACAGGTCAGCCCAGCCCGGCCCCCAATGCCCCACTCCAAATGACCTGCCCACAGGATTCCCCTTGGGAGGCCCAGGGGTACCATTTGGGTGGAAAAGAGGAGAATTTCTCCGCAGTTAGCAAATGTGAAGTGAATGCCTACAAAACAGCCACAATTATGATAGTTAGCAAACAGTATAATAAGTAAGCAAACACTTACCAGACTTGATGTTGTAAACGTATTTGCTCCTTTCAACAACTCTGTGAGGCTGGTGCTGTTACTATTTCCATTTTTCAGGTGAGGACACAGAGAGGTTGAGTGACTTGACCAAGGTCACACAGCTTGTAGTTGGCAGGAGCTCAGTTGCTCCAAATGTACCATCTATAGGAATCTCCCTCAGGGGATCAGATATGAGTCTGGACTACAGGCAGCCCCTAACCCTACAAATGAGATCTGTCCCTAAATGTGTCTTTAAATCAAATTTGCCTTTAGTGCAAGAAATGGCTTGAAGCCTTTTCAATGATTTAAAAGCTGCACATGGAGCAAGTGTAGGTGACTGTGATAAAGAATTCATTGCGAGTAGGGGTTGGTTCAATCCAGGACTTTGAACCAATTCTTTCTGTTTTGAACCCCTGCTGAGAATTTGTATTTCTAACAAATTCCCTGCTGAGAATTTGAATTTCTGACAAGTTCCTGGGAAGTTATACATCAGAATCACCTGGGGATCTTGTTAAAATGTAGATTCTGATTCAGTATATCTGGGGTGGAAATATAAATTAACAGCAGGGAACCTGTTAGAAATGCAAATTCTCAGCAGGGGTTTGAAACGGAAAGAACTGGTTCGAAGTCCTGGTTCAAACTTTCAAAGGGAGGGCAAATTTAGGTAACAGTAAAGGGCAAGTCCGAGCTGTCCAAGGATGTTCAAAACCCAGGGACTGCCTGTAATGCATATTTCTGTTAGTCACCCTCCGTTCCCCCACCCGACTTTCCTCTGTTCCTCCAGGCTGAGGGGGCAGGCTGCTTTGGGAAGGTCACCCAACAAAGGGTTAAAGCCCCGTGCCCAGCAGCTTCTGCCACGTGGCAGGGCCCATGGCTGGGCAAGCCCTGCGCTCTTCATTCACTCCTGGGCATTTGGCATTAGTGGCCTTCTCTACCTCCCAGAGGGGGCTTGGGGATTGGTGTTCCGCACCAAGGGCCAGGCAGCTGGTCTCAGGGTTTGCCACATGATGCCTTCTATTCAACACACTTAGCTGGAGGGGGTGACACTGGGGTGTCACTGAGAAAGGAGCCTCTAAGATTCACACGTCTCTTGTGTTGCTGTGGGCTGTTGAGTCGACTGGTGCAATGGTTATGTGCTCCGCTGCTAACTGAAAGGTCGGCGGTTTGATCCCACCAGCCAGTCCACAGGAGAAAAGACCTGGCGATCTGCTCGTGTAAAGATTACAGCCTAGGAAAGAAACCCTGTGGGGCAGTTCTACTCCGTCCTATGGGGTCGCTATGAGTCACCCGTCTTAGTCACCGACAAATCGCACTTCCGCCTGTTTTTCATGCCCGGTGTAGCAAACGCACCTTATGAAATTACAGGTCAACGTCAAAATATATTTATTAAGAAACTACTTTACCCAAGAGCTGATGCTTCAAGATTCCTTTAAAGTGAATTTAAAATAGCCCCCCAGACTAGAGGCTCTCACCTTGGCTGCAGGCTGGACCCCCTGGGAGTAGCCCTCCCTGAGATTCTGACATAACTGGTCTGGGGTGTGGCCAGGGCTTGGGGTGTTTGAAGGCCTCCAGGGGATTCTGCTGTGCAGCCTGGGTAGACAGTCACTCCTTCAGAGCTTACTTGGCGGCCAACATAAAACAAGTTGCTGTTCGTTGCTGTCGAGTCAGCTCCGACACATGGCAACCTTAAATATAACAAAACGTTGCCCAGGCCTGTACCATCTTTGTGATTGTTGGTACATTTGAGTCCACTGTGGCTATGGTGTCAATCCACCTCATTGAGGGCTTCCTTCGTTTTCTCTAACCTTCTACTCTGCCAAACATGATGTCCTTGTGATTGATCTTTCTTGATGACGTGCCCAAAGTAAGTGAGCTGACGTCTTGCCATCCTCGCTTCTAAGGAGCATGCTGGCCGTATTTCTTCTAAGAATGATAAAACATAAAACATAGACTTGCATTTGGGGTCTCATTTCTGACCCCCTTGTTTTTAAACATTCTTTCTCTTCTACTTCTAATTTAGATTACCTTTGCTATATTTTCTCTATCTTTGCAAACCGTTTAAAATTCTTTCTGGAATAAGGCAGGATAGAAATTACTTAATACATTATATTGAAATGCAGTTTATAAAGCACATGGACTAACAGGTGAGTATCCCCATTTATTCAAAGGAAAACCGAGGCTCAGAGCGCAAGGACTCACGGAAAATAAGGAGGGATTCCCAGGCCTAAGCCTCTCCCCACTCCTGTCTAAGGGTCCTTCTGCTGCAGGAAGCTGCTTACTGCGTGTGCATCAAAGGTTCTCAAAGTGTAGTCCTGGATCACCTGTGTCCGACTCCTGCCCCCCCCCCCCCCCCCCCCCCCCGCCCCAAACCTGCTGAACAGGTTTAAAGTGCCTACACGTTTAACTCATTTCATCCTGGAAAGGACCCTAACAGCTGAGTACCTGCTAAATCAGGCCCTGGGTGGTGGGGCCCAGAATCTGCATTTGACTGCTCTCCCTGGGTGATTATCAGTTGCAGAGTGTTTGAGAACTGGCAGTTTGCATCCTCAGTAAGCTCCAGTCTCTCTCTGAGGGCCCTGTGGTCCCAAGACATTCAGCCCGGCAGGTGTGGAGCTGTTGGGTACTTGCCCTTCCAGCGCCCACCCTCATGGAGGAACTGCTGCCCTGCACCAGCTCCCAGGCTGAGCAGAGGAAACGGGCCCCTGGAAGAGCTGCAGACTTTCCTCAGCGGGCAGCCCTCGTGGGCAGGGACTCTGTTGCACCCTGGGAACAGTTTCAGGCAGAATCTCCACTGGTGGGTCTTTCCTGGGTCCAGCACAAGTATCACACGGGCTCAGAGAAGAGAGAACGCCACCCCCCAACACACACAGACATGCACACACACACACACACACACACACACACACACGTGCACACAAGCACACACACATAGGCAGGGTGGACATGGCACAGTCCAGCAGCGTTGGCAGTGGAGCCATCTGTGGGCGGCTGGTTCCCAGGTGAAACCAAAGTCCACTGTCAAATCTACATTCAACTCTGACAAAGGTCACCCTGCCAGGACCCAGAGACACAGAAGCTCCGTGCCCCGTGGTGGTCAAGACACTGAGGGCCACCAGCGACTGAGTGCCTGCTATAAGTCGGTCAGTTTAATGTGTAAGATCTCACCTTCAAAAGCAGCCTCAGTGAAAGATATTTTTAGATTGCAATTGCATCTCACCTTGCTGGGTTGTTACGAGGATTACATGAGATAAAATACTCAGCTCTTAGGGTCCTTTCCAGGATGAAATGAGTTAAACAAGTAGGCACTTTAAACAGTGCCTGGCACATAGTAAATGCTGAGCAATGATATTATTGTAGCTATTATTTAGGAAGGTAAAGTGCTTACAACTTATAGGGGCTCAATAAAGGGTGGCTATTATTATTGAGTGTCCCTGGTTAACATGCTTGGCACCTTAGAAGAAGGACCTGGCAATCTATTTTTGAAAAATCAGCCACTGAAAGCCCTATGGAGACAGTTCTACTCTGATACACAGGGGGTCGCCATGAGTTGGAATTGACTCATGACTTGACTGGTTTATGATGATGATGATCATTATTAGCATTAGCATTATGACTATTATGGGTAATTACCCGTTATAGATGAAGCAGGTGTGGTTCAGAGAGGTTAAGCCTGAGATGGCCCAGCACCGAGGGGCAGAGCTGGCTGTGTCACCCAGGTCCAGCTGACTCTCAGCCCCCATACCGGATTCCCACGATGCCGAGGACAGCCTCTTTGGCTCACATCTCTCTGCTCTACTCCCTGCAGGGCTGGACTTTAGGCAGGACATCAGATGTGGGGACTGGGAACGTGGTGGGGAGCTGGGGCCTGGGGCAAGGGGAGTGGGGTCTAGTTAATACTGGTGGGTCCTGGAACAAGGCAGGGGTCTAGTTACAGGGCAGGGGTCCCAGGTCTGAGCCAGCCCCGCAGCCCCTGGTGCCTCTGCACGGGAGGGGAGCAGACAGGGAGCCAGGTCTCCCAGACACCTAGGGTTCTACTGGGCAGTGGCCATCTTGGTTCCTCTCCATAAGGTACAGCTGGAGCCACAATGCTCTGTGATCCCAGGACCTCCATAGCAGAGCTGTGGGGAGACCCCTGCCTGTGTCGACCATTCCCCTTGGTTAGGAGTGGGGCATCATGGGGAGGCCTGATCCCAGGAGCCTGGAGACTGGCATTCTGCCCTGGCTTTGCCTGTCTGATCTCACTCCCTTCCCCACCATATGCCCAGGCCTCTTCACCCTCTGTAAAATGGGAGGGCTGGCCACACTGCTCTCCTGCCCCATCCAGTGTCACACATTCATCTCCAAGAGTTTGAAGCCCCTTCTGAATGGCATGGTCCCACAGAAGCAAGGGACGATAAGATGGTTGCGCTGTGTTAACAAGATGATGCTCGGGGGCCCCAGGCAGCTGCCGATCAGTTCCCACATTCCTGCCCCTTTCCCTTAGTTGGCAAGGGAAAGGCTAGAGACCAGCTGTGACCCGCCAGAGATGCCAGCCCCATCTGGCCAGCTGTGACCCGCTGGAGATACCAGCCCCATCTGGCCTGTAGCCCTCAGCAGATCTGCCCACTGTTCTTTCCCGTGCTCGGGCACGTTACGGCTGTTACAGAGCATTTGTTGGTGGTGGCTGAGGTCCAGGGCCAGGGCCCAGCCCTGCCTGTGACCAGCACCTCTGCAGAGTGAGGTCAGGCCCCCTGCGCCGGCACAAATAGAAATTAGGAGGCAATTAGCCCCCCTGGGTGTACGAATTTCCTTTTGAGGTTCTGGAGGCCGATTTTAGCCAAACACAGCGTCACTAACAATAATAATACTTTTCACTGAGATCCTAGTGGGAAGTCGCTGGCATCGGATTTCCAGGAAGTTGGTGTGCCAGGAAGTGTGGGAACAGGCCTGGTGGCACCTGCTTCCCTCGCCGCAGCCACGTCCTTGGAGCTCCAGGCAGGGCTTCAAGGTGATCTGTCAGCAGGGATTGGATAGATTAGGGTGGCAGGGGCTTTTCCTTGTAGGCAGCAGGGGGCCTGGGGGGAGAGAGCAAAATCAAGGGGCCAAGAGCCCAGAAGCTGCGTTGTGGTCTTCGATTAGTCACTCCAGGTCTCTGAGCCACACGTGCCAAAATGAAGGCCACAGACCTGCTCTGGCTCCCCGTGGGGCGTGGCAGGCACCTTACCGGGCTGTGAAGATTGCTAAGTCTCTGACAGATCAGCTGTCACTCTGACTGCTACATGAGAAGTCAGACTGCCTAGCTGTGGTTCACTTACTGGCTGTGCATCCTTGGGCAAGTCACATACCCCTTCTGGGCTTCCATTTGCTCATCTGTAAAACGAAGATCACACTAGTGCCACATCACTGGGCTATTGGGAGGATTTAATAAACTAATATACATAAAGTGCGGAGTGGGTGGCCAAGTCAGTAGGGGAGCCCAGCCAGGGCTGCAGGGGGCTCCAGGCTGGGCAGTGGCTGTCCAGTGCTGTCCAGGCCAAAGGCAGGGCAGAGAGGCTGGGCGAGGCTAGAATAAGCCTCCAGGGGAGGAGGTGTTTAGATCCACAGGAGAGGGGAGCAGGCGAGGTCATGGTCACGGAGGGCTGCCTAGGGCTCAGGGCAGGAACAACTGGGGCCAGACACGTTTTGTCCCCTCCTGTGCCCTAAAACCTGGCAGCTCCACCGGGGCCCACAGGGTGTAGGACAGCTCAGCCCTGGAGTCAGAGGAGGATTCATATCTTGGCTGACCTCTCCTGACTTGGGCAAGTTCCTTAAGCTCGCTGACCTGTGATGTTTCTCATCTGCAAAATGGAAATGATGAGATGCGCTCTGTGGGTTCTTGTAAAGATTAAAGTCTTTAGATGGCTCCGGGCACACAGCGAGCTCTGCTTTGGCTGGCTGTTCCTGTCCCTTCTCCTCCTTGCCTGTCCCGCCCTCCCAGGCAGGGTCTGGCTCCAAACTTCACTAGATTCAACTGCCTGCCACAGGGAGTAGTTTGGATACGCATTGGGTTTGGGGACCCTCCAGTCAATTCTCCAGATTATTGAGCTAGGAATGGGCGGCACCCCTTAACCTAAAACAAGTCAGTGGGAGACTCTTGGTACCACAGTCCAGCCTGGCTGAGGCTTATAAGAACTGACTTTGAAGTCAAGTGTTCTAGGTTTGAAGCCCAGACCAACTTTTACTGACTATGTGTGGGGAGGTTGTTGAAGCCTCTCTGAACCTCAGCATCCAGTAACGCGGAGACAGCAACAGAGCCCCCCTCCCCAATGCGGTCATTGTGAGATGGCTGGCCCCACAGCGCCCCCTGCTGGTGCTGCCGTCACTCGCCGCTCCCCACACACGGTGATTGGAAAAGTGGCTGGGCTGAGCGCCACAGCGCCCCCTGCTGGCGGGCCGACCCCGCCGTGCCGGCAGCCCCGTGACCGCGCTTGCCCCGCCCGCCCGCAGGATCGTGCAGATGCTGCTGCCGGTGACGAGCCGCACGCGCGTGCGCCGCAGCGGCATCAGTCCGCTGCACCTGGCGGCCGAGCGCAACCACGACGCGGTGCTCGAGGGGCTGCTGAGCGCCGGCTTCGACGTGAACGCACCGCTGGCACCCGAGCGCGCGCGCCTCTACGAGGACCGGCGCACCTCTGCGCTCTACTTCGCCGTGGTCAACAACAACGTGCACGCCACCGAGATGCTCCTGCTGGCCGGCGCCGACCCCAACCGCGACATCCTCAACCCGCTGCTCGTGGCCATCCGCCACGGCTGCCTGCGCACCATGCAGCTGCTGCTGGACCACGGCGCCAACATCGACGCCTACATCGCCACGCACCCCACCGCCTTTCCCGCCACCATCATGTTCGCCATGAGGTACCTGTCGCTGCTCAAGTTCCTCATGGACCTCGGCTGCGACGGCGAGCCCTGCTTCTCGTGCCTCTACGGCAACGGCCCGCACCCGCCGGCCGCCGCGCGCTCCAGCCGCTTCAGCGATTCGCCCACCACGGTCAAGGAGCCCAGCGTGGTGCAGGTGGGCGGGGCGCGGGTGGGCGTGGTCTAGACCGCGGGCGGCAGCGGCGGATGGGGCAGTTCTAGGTGGGCGGGACGAGAGGGCCACGGGGTCTGGTGAGCTTGTCTGGAGGGGTGAGGACCTGTGAGTAATTGGTTCAGGAGGCTATGAAGACTAGTAGTGTTAACGTGTTTAGAGGCAGTCTAGTCCAGTGGTTAACGAGCTTTGAGGGCAACATAGACCAGTGGTTAACAGGTTTAGGGGCACTGAAGTAGTTACCATGCCTTGGAGAGAGTGTGGACTTGGAGAGGTAGCGTGCTTTGGTGAGTGTAGACCAGTGGTTAACATGCTTTGGAGGCGATGTAGACTAGTGGTTAACACGTTTCTGAGGGGCCTAGCTCGGTGCTTAAACCGCCTTGGAGCGAGTGTGGGCTAGTGGTTAAGGTGCTTTGGAGTCAACGTAGGCAGAACTTAGGGAGTCACATGAACAATTCAATCCTTTGCTTGGTCTACGGTCTCGGAGAACTTAAGGCAGCAGCTGTGGAGAAGGGACTGGCGGGGAACTCTGTAATGGAGGAGCTTGTCACCCCCAGCATCCTACAGCTCGAATATGATATTAAGTGACCAGAATCTGGAAGGGGACAAGAGCAGGCTGGGATAAGGTCAGACGACGTACAGAAAGTCAGTGATCCAGAGATGGGACCTGTCCATGGTGTTGACTTAAAAAGTCGGAACTGAGGATGAAAGGGAAGTTAGAATCCTCCTTCTCTTGGAATAATTATAATGGCTAATGGCCATCATGTATGGGTGCCTACTGTGTGCAAAGAAGTTTATGTTTATATTACCTTAGTGTTCATATACCCATTTTACGGAGTCCCGAGGTGGTGCAAACAGTTGACACCATCAGCTGCTAACCAAAAGGTTGGAGGTTCGAGTCCACCCAGAGGCACCTTGGGAGACAGGCCTGTGGATCTACTTCCAAAAAATCGAAAACCCTATGGAGCACAGTTCTACTCTGAGACCTATACGGTTGCCATGAACTGGAATGGACTCGATGGCAGTTGGTACTGGTATACCCATTTTATAGACAAGGAAGCTGAGGCTCAGCAAGGTCATCGATACAACTTGCCCAAGTTGCCCATCTCCCCTTGGGCAGCAGCAGCCTGTGTTGAGTAGAGAGTGGGGAGGATTTCTAGAACTGGATCCTGTCTTGGATGTGCTCAGTGTCCACCCCTGAACATGCCTCCTGCCCTCCCTGGCCTCAGTTTCCTGTAGGCTGAGCTCCTGAAGCTGGTGTGTGCACTCTCTCTTCCAGTTCTGCGAGATCCTCTCGGCCCCGGAGGTGAGCCGCTGGGCAGGGCCCATCATTGATGTGCTCCTGGACTATGTGGGCAACGTGCAGCTCTGCTCGAGGCTGAAGGAGCACATCGACAGCTTCGAGGACTGGGCCGTTATCAAGGAGAAGGCAGGTAGGGCTGCCACCGCTGCTGCTGGCAGGTCACCCTTGCCTGACAGAGAAGCCCAGGACTCAGGGCTGTGACTTAATAACATCTGATGAGCACCTACTACGTGCCTGATCTGTGCTGTGTCACGGACGGCGTGTCATTTTCTCCATGATTTACAAGGGAGGAAACTGGCCCTCAGAGAGATTCAGCTGCCAGGGCCAAGTGCACACAGCTGTTTGTGGCAGAGCTGGGATTCAAGCCCAGGTTTCCCAATCCCAAAGTCCGTGCTCTTTCACTAACTCTTTCCATGGTGTTTTAAACAGTTCCAGCTCTGTGAGGGGGATCAGAGCCTTGGGGTTAAGTTGCCTGTGTTTGTGGGTCACCGGGAGGCAGTGTGGCGGAGTAGAAGAGAGAGCAGTGGTCTAGGATGTCTCAAACCATAAAGTGCATATAAAGCACCCAGACATCTTGTTAAAAATGCAGCTTCCAATGCAGCAGGTCTCGGGTGAGGCCTGAGAGTATGCATTTCAGCACACTCCCAGGTGGGGCGATGCTGCTGGTCCGTGGTCCACACTTGGAGCAGCACAGAGCTAGGAGCAGAATCCCTGAGCTTGGAGCCCAGCCTTGCCAGGGACTGTGTGACCGTGGGTAGGGCCCCTCCGCTCTCTGGGCCTCAGCATCCCCATCTGTACAGCAAGGAGGATGGCCAGCTCCCCGCTCTGCCAGCCTGTGGTTTAGTCATAAGGTCTTGGTCTGGCAAAGCTTCTCAGCTCTGGGTGTGTGCAGATGGGTGGGCCTGGCACAGTGAAGTAGGGTTGGGCCAAGGTCCAGCTAATGTGTTCGGTGTAGATGGGGCAGCCTGGCTAAGTGAGACCAAGAAGGTGTGAAGGCATTATGAGCTCACCTGGGCGGGTGAGGTGTCAGAAGCAGTTAAACTAAGTGCCACAGCTGACAGTGGGAAGCAGGCACCTGCCCAGAGGGATTTCAGCTCCCCCACGGCTTTCTCCAGCTCTGAGGGCACAGTCCTGTCTCTTGCAAAGTATTGTCAATCACGTAGCACAGAGACAGACCCGAAGCACGTGATTATATCCCATGCTGCTGGACGTTCTCGCCGGGTGGGTGAGAGCGTGCACCCCCCGTCGCCTGCCCATGTGCCCCATCCACCAGGCCCTGATTCTGACTCACCCCAGCTCCTCCTTCATCCCCACGCCTCTTTGAGCCCAAACCTACTATAGGATTTTTCATTTGCCCAAATGCTGGCAAAGAACTTGAATTGAGGCCTTTGATAAAGTTGCCTGCCCGTTCACGTGAGGCCCAGTTCTGGATGCCCAGTAAACATTACTGAACTAATGAATAGTCGGTTGCTGTCACCATGACCCTTGGTCACTAGAGGGGGGAGCCATCCACACCAGATGTCGGCCCCGCCCCTCACCGTCCCCTTCCGCCTCTTCTCCCTAGACAAGGATTGTTGTTAGTTTCCAACTCATGGCCACCCCATGTGTGCAGAGTAGAACTGCTCCTCGGGGTTTTCAAGGCTGTGACCTTACGGATGCTGATCGCCAGGCCTTTCTTCCGAGGTGCCTCTGGGTGGGTTTGAACTGCCAACCTTTTGGTTAGTAGTTGAGTACTTAACCATTTGTGCCCCCCAGGGACCCCCTCTGGAGAAGGCTAATTCCTAAGAACTAAACAGTGTTCCAGGGAAAAATGTGGGGAATCCTTAACGTGCTCTAAATGTTTGTTAACAAGCAGAATATGTAGTTCTTAACCAGTACCCATTTTGGTTACTTTAATGCCCACCCTCCATCCGCAAACACCCTCCCACATGGTTTTTCATTTACTGCAGTGGCATTTATGTCATTATTCCAGGCAGAAGGGCCATCGGAGGCTCCGAGAGGTGGCATGATGAGCCCAGGACCACACGGAGAATCTGTAGCTAGCAGGAACTCCCCGGCCCCCGTGGCTCTGTCCCACCAGTGCAGTTTTAACTCAGCCAGGAAAGGTGCTGAGCTTCCCAAAGGGGAGGTCTGCCCTAAGGGAGAGCAAAGGGCAAGGGAAGTGTCAGAAACACAGTAGCGGCCGGCGCTGGCCCAGCCCGGAGTTCCCGGGGCTGAGTGAACAGTGCAGGCATTGTTGATGCCTGGCTAGGCGACGCTCAGCCACCTGGCCACTCCCCCCCCTCCACACACTCTATGCCCCAGTCTTCTCTCAGCTTGTCATGACGTCCTCGGCTGCACCCTTGCTGCTCCTCCTGCTTGGAATACCCTTGCCTGGGAAACTCCTACCCACCCTTCAAGAGCCAGCTCAGGTGGTGCCCTGGGCAGGCCCCTGTGCATCTCAAGCCTGAGCGCAGGGCCAGGCCCCAGGAAGGGGCTCAGTATGTGTTTGCTGAATGTATGAGTGAATGAACCAACGAATGAATGAATGAATGAGTGAATGACATTCTTTGATTAAGCCGACACCTCTGCCAAGCCCTGTGCCCAAGGCTGAAACAAATGACCCCATCACTGCCCAGTCCCAGTTCCTACCTGCCTCCTCTCCCCACCCCCTCTGCCCCAGCTGAGAAAACTCCACTATACAAGGGCTCCCAAGAGGCCTTAGGAGCCCTGGTGGTGCAGTAGTTAAGAGCTTGGCTACTAAGGAAAAGGGTGGCAGTTCGAATCCACCAGCCGCTCCTTGGAAACCCTATGGAGCAGTTCTACGCCATCCAATAGGGTCGCTGTGAGTCTGAATTGGCTAGCTGGCAGTGGGTTTTTGGAGGCCTCAGGGAAGACAGCCCAGTGGGAGCTGCCCAATCCCTGGTCCCTGACCACTCACCCCGGCCCCTGAGCACCAGCTGGAAGCCCAGAGCTGAATTCCATGCTGTGGGGGCACTTAAGAGGTCACACTCTTTGACCTCTTGCTAAGGCTGTGTTTGGAGGTCCAGGCTGTGGGTAGAGGACAGAGCAGGGAGCAAGGAGCTGGGAGCTGCAGTCTCCCATCCCAGGAGTGATCCTGGACAAGGCATGTCACCTTGCTAAGCCTCAGTTTCCCCACTGTGAGGTGGGGTTTTGGTACCTACCCCATCTACTTCCTTGGGCTGTGGGGATGGAAGACAAGTGACAAGTTGGAAGGTGCTTTGCAGGTGTTTCTAATTGGCAGGGACTGGGGTTTAGGGCTGGGGGGAGCCCAGGCACCCCCTCCCTTATGTAGCCACATCAGCCAGGTGCCTTCCACATGCCGGGGTGGCGGATGCGAGCCCTTTGCTGATAGCAATCAACAAATCAGCAGCCCTCTTTCCCTCCTTTCTGCAGAACCTCCGAGACCCCTGGCTCACCTTTGCCGTCTGCGGGTGCGGAAGGCCGTTGGGAAATGCCGGATAAAACTCCTAGACACATTGCCGCTGCCAGGCAGGCTGATTAGATACCTGAAGTACGAGAGCAGCCAGTAACGAGCCGTGGGGCCACGGAATGGCATCTCAGTTTGTCTTTGCTAAGTCTCAGGATGGTGGCATCCCCAAGACCAAGGGGACCTGGATAAATGAGGCTGCAGGCTGCCTCCCCCCTCGGCCGGGGCAGCGCCATGGTCTCAGAAGGTCTGTGGTCCAGAGCTTTGCCCAGAGCAGAGGGCAGAATGTGCCGAGCAGGAGAAAAGTCGTGTTTGTTCTCGAACCAGTGAGTAGATCCCGGACCTTCTCTGCCATTGGGAATGACAAAGACCTCTGATTCTGGGGCCAGAGAGGCCAGCTGAGGCAGGGGACCAGTAAGGGACCCCCACCCCCCGGCCCCCAACTTGGCTGGAGAACTCTAAGGGACAAGTCTACCTTTCCTGGACAGCCTCGCTGCAGATTTCCTGGTGCCTCTCCCTCTTTGCTCTGTGAAACCCTCCAGCTGGCTTCTTAGCTGTCTCCCTGAAGACGTAGCCCAGGACCCGGAAGGCCTTTGGTCCTTGAGGGCTGTGTTCAGTACAATAAACGCTGCACGGGTGACACCCTGCCCAACACAGTCCCCTCACCAGACTCCCCCAAGGCCTGTGGTCCTCAGCGCTGCCTCTGGCGGGTGTGGGGGCTGGGCAGGGGTGGGGGCAGAGTGACCTGTCACCTTTGCTTGGGCTCCTGAAAGACCAAGAGTGTGTGGCCTTCACTCACCAGGAGAGACCGATGGCCCGCGGAGAGCGGGGGCGGTACTGCCGTTGGTTTTCTCGCCTGGTATAGTCACCATGGAAACAAGAGCTTCGTCACAAGCAGGGTCTCGGTGCCCACACGTCTCCCGACACTGGGGTTGTCCTGCACGCACGTGTTCCTTGGCACTCTGTCTTCACGTTCTCTTGCCCCGGTTTTGCTACAAAAGTGAGATGGGGCGGGGGAAACAATAAAAACGATCTAGATGCTTCTGTGAGCAAAGGCGCTGGAGTGATGGCCATCATTGCCCCAGCAGAAATGCTGAGCTTGAGAGTGTGTGCAGCCTGTCCCCTCCCTGGGGGCTGACAGGCAGGTGGCACAGGTGAGGTTGGGCAGAGCATGGTCCTGGCTCTGGTGTGTCCGTTTCTAGGGAAGCTGCAGTGACTCATCTGCGGTCTTTGCACGCGTGCTGAAAGCTGCCTGCGTCTGGGCCGCTCTGCATCGATGTTAGAGCAGGCCGCCTCGCTGAGTGCCGTGCTGGGCCAGGACCTGCTAGAGCGTTAGGGAGGTCCGACACAGTGTCCGCCGACCACGTGACCTCTTACCGTGAGCTCAGCCTGCAAGACTGTGGGGCACTGGCTCCAGGCCCGGCTCTGCCATTGGCCTGCTCCTCCAGGGCCTCAGTTTCCTCATCTGTATAGCAGAGTGGTGCTGGGTGGCCCCTAGTGGCCTTGCTGGCTCTGACTTGCTGGGTTTCCATTAAATCAGTAAATCTTGGGGTCTGCGTAAAGAGGAAAACTCCCACCAAGCAGCACTTGCCAGAGGGGACTTGGCCACGTCATACCCACTCCCTCACGGTACATATGGGGGAAAGGCCCAGAGAGGGAAAGGGGCTTGCCTGGGCACACACAGCAGGCCCTGGGGTTTCAGCCCATTAGTGTGTGGACATAATTCTAGGCCGCCTTGCTGCAGAGCAGGCAGAGCTTACAGGAGCCCCTCACCCCACCGAGGGCCCAGGGGCTGTTACCGAATAGGGTTCAGCTCGTGATTAGGAGGAAACCCTGATTAGTAAGTGCCTTGCTGGCCCAGCAGCTCAGAGGGAGAGCCTTTAATCTCAGATGACGCAGCAGGGATGACGGGACGGGAGAAATGGCTAGTCTGGGATTGTTTGGGTACACAGGCGGGGCGGGTATCGGGTAAGCTCTTAAACTAGGCATTTCACAGATCACATTATATGCCCAAGTCCTGAGAGGCAGGGGCCATGACCTCTCCCCATCTGAGGTCAGAGGGGGACACTGCCTGAGGGAGTTACCCCCTGGAGGAGGTGAGGCTGAAGCGGTAGATGGGATATAGCCTGGCCTCAGGCAGCACCCACAAAGCCTTTCCTCGCAGGAGCTGGGCCCCTTCCCTGGGAATGTGGCTGGTCGAATGGTCTGGGCACCATGTCCCCATGGGCCACACCGTCCATGAACATGATTATGACAGGGTCTGGCAGGACCCCCAGATGCCACCAGGTCACTGTGGTAGTTTATGCAGGGTTTCAGCACTCACACAGAGAGGTTAAGGAACTTGCCCAAGATCACACAGCTAGCTCATAGGTGGCAGGGCGGGGATGCAAGCCTGGGTGATGTGTTCCAGGGCCCATGCTCCTAACTCTGGGCAGTTAGGAGGGGCTGAGATGCATCAGAATGGATCCGAAAGGGTCGCCATGACGACTGCCCCTCACTGCTCCTTTAGACCAGAGCAGTTTGAGGCTGATGGTCCCACCTGAGGACCCCCAACCCATGTGCCACATAATTGCTCGGAACAGCTCTGCCTGTGGTGCGCTGGCTTCTGTGGCTCTAGAGTGTCTGATGGCATGGGACAGAAACCCACCGGCCACCCTGCAAGTGAGCGTCCCTTCCGTGTGGACTCCCCACTCCAGGGGAGCCCGGAGGAAAAACACGGCAGGGTGGGAGAGGCCCTCAGCCCTCGCTGGAGCCTGTGTTAGGAAGGATACTGAGGCCGCCTCTGGGCACCGTAGGGGAGAGCCCCGTGGGCAGCCAGCGATGCCTCTCTTGGCTCTCCCCAAGCTAGTCCCCCGTTTTACGTATGTGGAAACTGAGGTACAGAGGGGGGGAATTGTCCACATCACACTGCTAGTTTGGGAGCCAGAGTCCCAGCCAGTTACGAGCTGTGTGTTGAAATGATGAGCCGCCAGCGCCCCAGCAGGCCCGCTGCGAGGGAGAGGCCCTCTGTGGCTTTGCCAGCCGAGCACCATCGGGGCAAGCCCGGCCCCCTCCCTGCCACTGGGGCCTCCCTCTGAGCACTGTCCCAGGCACATTGGTGGAGTGCCTGGTGTGTGCCAGGTGCTGTGCCAGGCCTGGCAGAGGGCGAGCCATAGTTAATCCGGGAACCTGCATTCGTCACACAGTATTGTTGTTAGGTGCTGTCAAGTCAGTTCCGACTCGTAGCGACCCTAGAGGACAGAGTAGAACTGTCCCATAGGGTTTCCAAGGAGCGGCTGGTGGATTTGAACTGTCAACCTTTTGGTTAGCAGCCGAGTTCCGAACCACGTCGCCACCAGGGCTCCCACACACACACACACACACACACACACACACACACACACACACACACACACACACACACGCAGTATTACTTCCTTTTTATTTTTTGGTCTGTGGATATAGAACCAAAGACTATGCTTAGAAGAGGAGTAATTTGGTCAAACAGCGTGCTGCTTTGTCCACAAGGGGCTGAAGCCCTGTTTGGCCTGATTTTCCCTTCTGACCAAGGGCCCGGCAGGACCACCTCACCACTGCCTCTGCTCTGAGGCTGTAAGCAGAACTGGAAGGCACCGCAGAGGGGACCGTTCTGCTCCCACGCCCTCCTCTACAGGTGGGGCGAGGGGCCCCAAGAGGAGAGCCAGCCTCACATCACACGACTTCAGGGCTCTTGGGAACTCTGGGGCCCGGGCTGGGGACCATTCAACTTCGAGACACCCAAGATGTGGAAACTGCAAAAGAAACATCTTTATTCTTTTAACTCTCTCAATATTTACAAAGAACAAAAATAACAACTGAGGCTGGCTTGCACAGTGGTGGCAGATGAACAGATGTGGGACTCTGGCTTCTGGGGCGTCAGGCAGGTGAGGGCCACTCCCGCCACCCTGGTTTGCGCAGGGACGCGGGGTCATCTGTTGGACGCTGGCCGGGGGCAGGAGCCCCGCCCCACAGCCCCCAAGGCTGCCAGGGCGGAGTCGGTGACCGCCTGAGACGCCCCGTCCTGCCTCACCCCTCCCACACAATGGGGAGAGGCCGCGCTGCTGAGCAGCTCAGAGCCCGCCGACCCGCCCACCTCGCCAGGGGAGCCTCAGGTGGGGGCCGAGGCTGTCCCAGCCAGGCTAGAGGTAGCCAAAGACATTGAAGATGGGCGGGGGTACGGCCGGCTTGGTGGGTATGGGCTTCAGGACCACAGGGCGGTATACCTTTTGCCCCAGGCTATCCACATCCTTACAGAAGGGGGCCAGCTCCCCCGGGGAGGCTGGGCTTGTCCTCCACAGGCCCAGGCTGGGCATGGAGCCCTGCAGCAGTGCCCCCGGAGGGCCTGGGTATATGGGCTGTCCATGGTACTGGAAGGGGCAGCAGCTCCAGGCGTTGACTCGGCCCATCAGGGAGACCCCAGGCATTTTGAGAGGCTCCTTCTCCACCAGTGCCCTTGGGGAGAGGGGCACCGGGGCCATCTCGGGCCCCAAGGGCTCCAAGCCCTGGCACGTTTTCTTACCCTCATAGGGAGGCCCCTCCCTGGGGCCCAGGCCCCCCTCCAGCCCCATGGGGAAGCTGTGGGCGGGCCGAGGCTCCTCCCAGAAGGAAGCGGGCAGCTGTCTTTTCCTCATGGGCACCTGGCCAGGCTGGGCGGCTTCTGGGTTCTGCCCCTGCAGTGTCTGCTCCTGCTCCCCGGACAGAAATTCCTCCCTTCCAAGGTTCCCCAGAGCCTTCTCCTTGCAGCCCCCACCCCCGCCGGGGCTGGGATCCTGGCCGTCGAAGGACAGCCTCGAGGGCCGGTCCTCAGGACCCCTTTTCAGGTGGGGCTCGGCCGCTCGGCCCGGGTGGCCCCGCGGGAGCCGGGAGTACTTCTGGGAGAAGCGTTTGAGCTGCTTCTGCAGGTACTTGCGGTGGTCCACGGAGCGGCGGCAGGGCGCCGACTTGTCCAGGGCCGCTTTGATGTCGCTGGAGGCCAGGTTCACAAAGTTCAGCAGCATCTTCACATCACTGTCGGATGCCATCACCAGGGGGCCACTGCACGGGGCTTTCCATGAAGAGAGTGGGTCCTGCTGGTGGCCGGTGGCTCCGGGGCAGGGCACCCAGCTGACCTGAGGGACACAGCAGACCGTCAGTGTCTCTGTGAGCAACCACACCCAACCCTCCCCAAAGGCCGCATGGCTGCAAAAAGTGGCGCCAACCCCAGCATCCTGCAGCCCTAAACAGAGTCTGGGTAGCTGGGATGTCCACTCAAGCTGCTAAGTATTTCTTGATCACCTGCAATGAGCCAGGTGCACAGAGAACCTCATTTAACCTTCTGGGGTCTGAGGCTCAGAGAGGTCAGGCAGCTTGCCCAAGGTGGCCCAGCTACCCAGTGGCATTGCTGGCAGGAACACGGCCACCGTGGATGACTTGTCAGCCAGGTCTTATTTCATGAGCTGAAGCAACTGCTCCACTTTCAAGCAAGGCCAAGCCCCCTCCCTCCCCGGTAGTGTCCTCCTCCCTCCTGCCCCCCGCCCCCAGCCCTCTGAGCACAGTCCCCCGCCCCCAGTCCCCACGCTCCACCCCTAGCTCTCACGCAGGACCAGGCAGGACCCCTCTCTGGCACTCAAGTCAAGACCTGCCTCGAGGGCTGGTCACAGGCAGCGGGCAGCGGGGCTCCCCCGTAGAAGCATCTGCAGCGATTTCATGCCTCCTCGGCCGCCACCCACAGCACCTCGCCCCTCCCCCAGGGCCCCAGCCTGCCCCTCACCCCCCACCCAGCCAGCGCAGTCCCCCACACTGACCAGAGGTGTGGGTCCCGGGCCCCCTCCCACGCGGCCCGGCAGGTTCCCCCGCAGACCTGGGCTGGCCCTCGCGGCCGCCGCGCTCCGTCGCGGGAAGCAGTTAGTTGTGCAGCCCTCGAGTGGGCTGAATGGAGGACAAGTCCCCAGGGCTGGGGGGCCCTCAGGCCAATCAGGAGCGCCTCTCCAGATACAAAGCATCCCAATCAGGCGGCGGCGCCCCGTTCCCACATTCTTTGCCGTCACAAATTGTCACCATGGGGACCATCACAAAAAAGACAGCTCCCAAATGCAATCATTTCCCGGTAAATTTCTACCCTTCAGCCCCACTCTCCCCCTCGGCCTCCGTGCCCCTCCTCCCCCCCGACCTCGGTTCCCTGGCTTCTGGAGGGGGTGGTGTGTGTGCATGCGAGTGCGTGCGTGTGTGAGTGAGCGTGCACGCGGCACGAGTGTGTTTGAAATGTCCAGGACCGAGGAGGGGCTGGGCCTAGTGGAGCCGGGCTTGCAAACCTCCCCCAAAGACTGCCAGCCTCCACCTGCCATGCTCCAGTGCAGACGGACAATCGGACGGCCGGGGTAAGCCGGGGCGGGCTGCTTTCCCTGTCCTTGAGTGTTGAGTGGTTCCCTGACTCCCCTGTCTCCGTCTCCCCCTCTCTCCCCCTTCTCTCTGGACTGGGCATAGGAGGGCCGGCTGCGGAGGCAGTCTGCTGTCGGGAAAGGTGGCCGCGGCAGGACTGACTAACGAGGGCCTGGGATATCCATGGGAAGGGAGCCGGAGCTCTCTGGAATCTTGTCTTTATGTTTGCTTCCTCAATTGAGCTGCACAAAGCCTGAATTGCCCATTCAGCGCGGCCGGACAAAAGGTTGGCGTTGCACGGCCCCCTTGCGTTTGTAGTCAAACAGTTAGGAACTTAAATCGAGTCGTCATGATGGAGAAAGAGGTGGACAAAGCCCATAGAATTGCCATCAGCAAACATTTTCCTGTGTCATATTAGCCAGTCTCCATGGCTCCCCCTGGCCTGGGGACAATGGCACAAGTTTGCACACTTGGCTACTGTCACCGTGCCAACGCCGGCAGGGCCGCAAGCAGGGCTGCTCCGAGTGAGCAAGGAGCCCGAGCCGGCCGCTGGCCCTGCCCACCAACGGGCCAGAAGGAAGGTGAGGCTGAGGCGGAGGAGCGGCCTGGGAAATCCTCGTGGGCGCCGCCCCCATGCCAGCCTGCTGGAGCGGGGGTTTTCACACCTTCCTCCTCGGGCTCTGTCTTCTCTCTTTCCTCTTCCTTTCCCCTTACTTGTGCCACCTTCCTTCTCCTCCTGCCCCCTGGACAGCCGAGTGGCAGGTGGACTATACAGCCACTCACACCTTTGCTCCAAAACCTGTTCTTAAGTGCTGGAAGCAAGGGACTCCTGTCTGAGGTCTCCCCACCGAGGCTGGACGCATAGGAAGGGCAGAGCCAGGGGCTCCCCCAGGAGTGGGGAGCCTGCCCCTCCTGCTGGCCAATAGGCAGCTCTGCTGGCACCAGGCATCTGCCCACCGTGGCCTGGCTCCAAGCCACCCTCACTGGCCTGAGGGTCCCTACAGGCAAAATGAAGGGTATGGGGGAGAAGGCCCAGCTCTGACAAGCTGTAACTCACTTCAGGCATTCAAGAGCTGGCGCAGGGCCCTGCTGTGGGGCGGGGACGCTCAGGGTGAGGTGCAGGCACTGTCAGACCAGAGCAGCCTGTGTGGCTGGTCTCACCTGCCTGAGGGGCCCATCCCTGTAGCCGACTCTGCATGGGCAAAGAACAGACCGTGGTCATTTCAAGCCCCTGAGACTGGAGGTGGTTTGTTTCTGCAGCATTGCCCAGCCCACCCTGCACGTACTGCAAAAGAAATCCCCCCAATGCACCGTGGTCACCAGTTTAGGCTCTTTCGCAACTCCAGCCCTGGCTTCCTGCTGCCGCTGTAGGGAGGCGGTGGAATACCTCCAGAGCCCACTGAGCCAGCTCTTCCATTATTCTCTGCTGGGAGACTGGCCCAGACCATCGCCGGCCCCACTCCCACCTTGGCCTCCTCACTCCCTGGGTCTGTGCCCGTGCTGGCCCTTCTCTCCGGAACACCTTCTCTTTTCTCAGAGCATCAAGACAATCTCCAGCCTCTCCACTGGGATCATAGATCTTCCCGAGATGTCACCGCAACTGCAGTCATTCCCACCCATTCTGGCCTCATCTGCTTGTGATGTCATCCCGTTTCATAGCCAAGAGTGAGTCCCCACAACAGGTCGGGGTGCTCCGTGGGAGTCAAGTCTATATCTTTTAAAAAGTCTTTCCGTAATTCTTAACATAAGCGGTTCTTCCACCAAACAGTTTTGAGGCAAGAGAGAAGGAAGGGAAGAAGAAAGGCCGGAGGTGAGAAAGAAAAGGGAGAGAGAAAAATGGAATGAAGGAAGCCGATACCTGCTGGGTGCCTGCCATTTGCCGAGAGCCGTAACTGTGATCACACGGGGAAGAGCTCACTCGATGCCCAGGACAGCTCTACAAGGAGGCTGTTATTGGTGCCATTTACAAATGAGGAAAACTGAGGCTAACTCACTTTCCCAAGGACTTATAGCTAATAACTGGCAGAACTTGAACTTGAACCCAGGCCGGTCTGCATGGAAAGCCAGTGATGGTCCCACCGCGTGACATTGCTTCCCTGAGCTCCTACTAAGTGCCAGGCACTGCTCAAGTGCCGTTGGGTTTAAAGACCTTGTGGACCAGATTTTCTACGGTAAGTCCTGGGTTCGACTCTTCCGTCCCACTGTCAGAACTTGACTCCGAACTTCCGACTCAGGGCTATGGCAGCCGCAGCTACGGGAGATGAGTAGAGGGGAGAGGAGGCAGCTGTGTCTCGAAGGAGAGTGGACTGGGACCTGATCCATGGCCCTGCTCTGACCTGGCCTCTGGGGATTGCCTCTGACCCGTGCTGGCGAAAGCTGCTTGCGTTTTCCTGCTAGGCCATGTTGGCAGTGGAAAGAGAGCGGTGATAATTACCCCTCACTCTATGGAGCCCTTCCACAGTTGTTTTCTCATTACGGTCCTGTGTCTGAGCAGCTGGTAAAGTGGCACACCCAAAGGCAGGCCCCAAACCTCTGATCCGTGGGCCCAACTCAGGGCTGCTCAGCCAACCCTGTCCTCTCAGCATTTTTCAAGGTCCTACTCAAACGTCTTCTCCTCCGGAAAGACTTCTGCCAACTCCCAGCATTGTTAATAAAACTCTCTCCTGTCCCTGTTCGTAGATTCAAAGGTGAAGTCTAACTTCCTTAGACTAGAGCACAAGGCCCTTTGTAATCTGACCCCTATGTATCTCTCCATTCTTACTTCTCGACACGGCCCCTTATACTCCCTCTGTTCCAGCCAAGCCAAAATGTGTGTTGTTCTCTGGACAAGTCATGTAATTTCATGTCAAAATCTGTATTAGTTAGAGTCCTCCAGAGAAACAGAGCCAATATATATATACATACACACACACAGAGATTGACTGATTGATTGATTGGTTTTAAGGAATTGGCTCATGTGATTGTGGGGGTGGGCAAAGCCAAAATCTGTAGGTCAAGTGGCAGGCTGGAAACTCCAATGGAGTATCTACGTTACAGTCTTGAGGCAGAATGCCTTCCCTCTTGGGAAGCCTCAGTTTTTGCTCTTAAGGCCTTCCCCTGATTGGATGAGGCCCACCCACATTATGGAGGGCAATCTGCTTTAATTAAAGTCAACTGATTGTAAATGTTAATCACAGGCAAATACGTCATAGCAACATCTAGACTAGTGCTTGATCAAACAACTGGGCGCCATAGCCTAGCCAAGCTGACACATACAATTAACCATCACAGTCTACCTCTTGTCAACTTGGTATCCATACACATCTCCTTAAACCACACTTAATCTCCAAATAATCAATAACAAAGCCATACTTCTGCCCAACATGGTCCAACGATCCCGTGTACGACTGAAAACGCACTAACCCTTTCCCCAGGAGGCGGTGCAAAGGCCTTGGGTGGTGTTCACGCTTCTCCTTGATTTCCTGTAACAGAAATACTGTGATGTAAAGTTAAGACATCTAATGTTATATGACAAGGAAGAGCTACGAGAGGGAAGAAAACAAAGATATTTGCTATATATAAATGTGTGTGTGTGTGTGTGTGTGTATGCACATATATATTCATAAGAAAACAATGAAGAAATACTCATAACAATTAAGCAATTACAGTCCTCATTTTTGCAACTGGTCACGTGTCTTGTCTGGTATTAATAACTACCTTCTGCTACCCATTCCATATTCCCTTTGCCCTCAGCAGGAGCCTCAGC